CAGAGAATAAACAAGTCTTTGATGAATTATTCACGTATTCAGTTGGCACTATTTTTCATAATCCTATACAATAAATACCATTGACATCAAAACAAAATGTCAAGATCATTTTCAGATAATTTTCACAATTTGAAATACAACGGTTTTATGTCAGACAAAACAGAACGAAAACTACGTCATTCGCGACTTTCGGTTGAATCTTCATGTAGGCTATCTCCATTTAGTCCAGGTCTCACGCAACATCACTTCCATTTGCCAGGCTTTTTAGAGTATTTATTCATCACTTTAAAAATTTATTCATTTTATATCACAATCCCCTTTTCATAGATCGACAATAAATCAATCTAACACGTATACTCACCATGAAGAAAATATCATTTCTTTTTCGGTCCTTTTTGTCCTTTTTTATTATTATAATTAAATTAATGGAATGCTGATATTTGCCTACTGTTTATTTTGTGTGCCGTTACCAAGGCTCACATTAGTTATGCACAACAGATTAGAACTTCATGTTACTTTTTTACCAATTGATTATTCTTGACAAACAAAGATAATCCAAGGCCGTAAATCTCTGTAGGCACTTCGTATTAAAAGAACAATTACTTATCTTGGGAACAGAATCTGTGCGCCAGCTTTTACGCAATTCAATCTTTTTAATATCAGCTGCCAAATCGTATTTTATTCTTTCTACATTAAACATGCATTTTGACAGTCCTTACATGCCGCATATTTTATTAAGCCTGAGATTGAAAATGATAATAGCACAATGAAAACCTAATCTATTTCAACAACCCAGGAGCTGACGCTGTCTCGATGGGTCGACCAGCGCTGAAGCTGAAAGCGCTATTGATTCCACTTTAGCAGCGTCCGGAGAGTTATAGAAATCAAAGAGCCAGCTTCCGTATTTCAGGTTTTCCCTAGTGTACAACGACGTCCCTTATTAAGTGGTTTTTGCAAGCAGTTGGAAGATGCCTAGAGTGTCAACACAGCGTGGTGGCTCAACAATAGGTTGATTTTTGGAATCATTGCGGGGAGTGAAAAAAGTGTCCTTGACAGAAAGTAATGGACCTGTCCATCCATTCCTCGAATGCTAGTAGCAGAAAGACCAACTTTATTCGCCAGAAGAGAATGCGTTAAGTTATTTCACCAATGCACCTAAATCTAGTTGCAATAAGAAATCATCATCTTTCCAACCAATTCCCATATTTTTCAGAAAAAAAAAGGGGGGAGGGGAATTTGTATGTTTTCAGGTGTTTCAGACAAATCAGCATATTTTACAAGAATAATCCGTGTTTAGGTTGTTATTAATTATGTTTCTTTTTCTTTTCTTATAAAAGTAACTACATGAAATAAATTTAGCAATCAATATCACTTTGTGTGCCAAGATTGATAAAATCTAAAATTAACACAAAGCCACTCGCTATCAAAAAAAGACCATTAAGAAAATTAGTATGCGTTTAGTAAAATGTTCAACACCATTTTCCTGAGCGCAAGTTGACTGATGTCTCCCGAGAGTTGAAATAAAAGACCGGAGATGGCGTGCTATTTAATCAATCGATATTCGTGTCAGAACATGCATCTCCCAAGAACTACACCTATATTTATCATCGAAGCTCCCAGTACAAAAGCCACGATCACTAAAATAGATATTACACATTTCAGTTGTTTTCCCGAAAACCACACCTTCAAATGACACCCTTGTTTTGAGATATCCGAGGTGAAGCTGACATCAGTTGCCGTCAGATCGATTCAGTCGGGATCAAGCTTCAGGTCCTTGGAGGATTACTGTGCAGGTGCTTGGTGATATGTGTTAACTCGTGATCACCATGGCGAGCTGGAGACATCAACTGGATCTATAGTCTGTCTTCACGTACGTTAACGGAACAGTTCCATCTTAATAGATTCTCCCTGAATAGGATTGCTATGTATTCCGACAAAGACGGTTAATGGTCAGAGGTTCTCCAAGCAACAAAATGGCAAAGACGATAATAATGTTTGTATCGTGTATTGTTGAATTTCTTTCCTGGATAACATATATATCGGGTAAGTGCCTTTTTGAATTGAAATGTGTGAGCTGATAGCCCTTTTAACAAAATATATCAAGACTTGATAGAAGAATTGTTTACTTTTTAGCAAAAAATAGATTCACAACGTAAAATGAACGCAAATTGTGAGAGTGAGCAATTATTCCATTGTTATTCTATCAAAACCCATAACTTGGTCTTGGATCGGTAGATTTATGGCAAATGAGTTATAAGAAGGATTACCAAAAGACTTACCTTTCATTAACGAAATAGCACTTTTTGTGATATTTATTGCAATAATTTGACGATGGTTTACGATGGAACCATGTAAGATTTGAAGCAGTAGAATATAATGTGACAAGAGAAATATGTAACACGTAATAAAGGGAATTATATTGTACTGTACGAAAAAATTAAACAAAACGTTCTCCTAGCAAGCTATTTATGGGATTGTTATTGAATGTCTGGTACATCCTTTCACTAAACAAACAATCAAGTGAAATTATTGTTCCATTAGATGGATATTAGATACGTACATGTAATGCTTGATTGACTTGACAAAACGGCTCATTTGGCAATTCTCTTAATGCCCTTTACATTAAAACGGACAGTCATTACTCACTTATTTGTTTGTTTGTTTGCATATTGTGTATGCCGAGTCCTCAATCTAGGTTTCATTGAAATTAGAAATATCATATGCGTCATAGATGTTGTAGTATATTGAAACGCCAACACACAGCCAAGTATGACGGACGCAATATTCAATATTTGCGGCCTGAGTGCAGTAACCAAGATACAAAACAAACTGAGGAACACAATTTGTGCTTCACATAAATCCGTCTAATTTGGTTGCGTCTACAGATGTTTATAGCAATTTTTGTAATTGTTCAAGCTCTGACACCATTCTGACGCTACTGCAATATTGAAAAATAATTCTTTGGGAAATAATGATAATTGATTAATGATCGAGATTCCAAACTTAAAAATGAAAAGAAAATTAAATTGCATACAGACATTACTGCGCACTTACTTTTATATGGTATTTGTTCCGACGTTTCGTCTAATAATAATACATGTATATGTATTTAGAGTCTACATTCCATCAAAAATATGTTCTGAAGATTGTACAAATGAAATACAAAGTTAAAGGGATTATTTTCGATTAAAAGGTAATGATATTAAAAGTTAAGAAAAAAAATATCCAATTGTAAGGTTTATAAAGATTCTATAGATTTCTTCAAAATTGAATTTATTATCACTGTTATCATTTTCTTTCTTTTTTTGATTGAAACTGCAACGGGATTAGTCAAAATGTACCTTTGTTTAATGTATACTTTTGACAACATTATAACAAAAAATGAAAAAATAAAAATAAATTGATTCATTAGTGGATAATCCACGGTGTTGGATTATGGTATATTTTTACATACTATTATTATTATTATTAAAGCAGTGAACACCTATAAAATACACAAAGTTCTGAAAGCATTAGTATAGCCAATGTATAATACTCATAGGAAAATATCACCAAGTACATACTCTCTGTGCTAAACTCCCCACAGGACCTGAACCGTACATAGGCGTAACATACCAGCACAGGGTCTCAGAACAGAAATGAACATGGCCATGGGATAGCCATAGAAATACCTGCAAATAAAAAATTATCTTTGTGGCCCTGGTAGAGCGCACGATTTACCCAGTAAACACATAATGTTATTATAACGTTAACGTAACGTTTATATACAACCAAAAAACGTTATGGTAACGATATAATAACGTTTTGTGGTATCTGGGTATAGGCCTGAAATTTTCAAAACTATCGTTTACAGTCATGGCGATATAACCAAGTTTCGCTCACATTTAAGTCCGGTTTAATGCAATTATTTCCGTGTTTGTTTCAATGACGCTTATTTTCATATTATCTTATTACTTATTATCTTATTATATGTAGACGGAATACATGTATACATGAATACGGAATACACTAGGCCAAAACACTGCAGAGCTGCGCCTGAACCCAGTCTGACTATTGTAATTAGTTTGCTGAACTTTTCATGCCCTCGATATGGATTTATCGCAGAAACAGTTGTTTTCTTATCTCAAGCTCCTTGTTGTTGAATACGTCGAAAGTTAAATCGCTTGGACTCTTATGACAGCAGCATTGTGTACTTATAACGTAAATTGTTACATAATGCTGACAGTGCTATTGATATTTAATTAATGCAGATGCTCGCCTATTGCAACACTGGTGATAAAATCACAATTTATGGAGTGTGTTGTCGTTTGGTTAAAAATGGAAAGACGAACAAGTCAATATGACATAGAGAAGAAACACAGTCAAACAGACAGACGGGCAGGCAGACAAACAAACCCATTTTGATAAAATTTTGATCCATTTTATGGTCCAATTTTATCAACAAATCAAATTAGTCTTATTATTGTTTTTCAAAGAATTTAAAAACCTTTTCATTCAAAGAATATTATAGTTAAATTATATCTTTTAGTTTCAGTTTTAATTACTTTTATATTAGTTTCTAAATTTATGTGTAGTTAAAGTTTTTATACATTTGTAAACAGTGCTGAGACGCATTTTAAGAAATGAATTATTATTATTATTATTATTATTGATAGCCTTTTTCCTCTGTTCAGCCTTGAAGACATGTTATAAGGACGAGGAGGCAGGCGAATTCGACTGGAATAAGTACACGTGCCCAGATAGCACCCCGGAGTGCTGCGTGGAGAGTGAAGAATTTACATGCTGTCAGACCGAGGCACAGAAAACACTGTGAGTAAATTTTGGACGAGGTCGAGGAAGACTCATCGTTTTGCCATGGTTAAAGATATATTTAAATGGCTTAACATAAAATTAAAGAGAACGTACACGGGGTTTATAGAATGAAAACAATCAAACAAAGTTATTCTGTGCCCTTAACTCCTGAATGTATATTTCCAGTTATCAGCAACTTCAGCTATGGGGTGGGGTGGTAGGATTCATGCTCATTGTGACGGGTGCCTATCTCTGCTACAAAAAGGAAACTAACATTTGCGAAAAAAGCCTCAAGGAAAGGTGCAGTTGTGGCAAAAAGTAAGTTCAACCTTGGAACCTAATCTCACTTTACATAGCTTACTTAGCTTTAGATAAAGATTGCAGCAACTTTAAGGCGAGCTTCCATGGGGTTGTTGGTTCGATGTAACTCAATACGACCCAATTCCAGTTGGATGTGTGATTACGATTAGCCTCACCACGGGCGGCAGTTCTAATCCCTCTGTTGTCACACCCAGCTTCAGTATAATTGATGCAAGTTTCTTGCCGTTAAATTTATTTATCTGGTGAACTTATCGCAATCAGAGAAACAAATTTAACGGCACGAAACTTGCATCAACGACCAGTTGAGATGGGTTGTTCTAAGTTAGGTCGATCCATCTCCAATGAAAACGGCCCTAAAGTGCGCTGCCACAGTAACTGTGTCAAATTATTTTTAATTTGGACTAAAATACTGATTCTATATATAAAAAACGAAGAAAAATCAATAACTATTAATTATTCAGATAAACTATTGATTAAATGATTCTGTTAAATACTTATAATAGACGATTTTCGGGAACATAACGCCCTGCTTTCTTGTTTTGTAGGCAAGAAGCGAAGGAAGAGACAGAACTAGAACTTACTGTGTTACCAAGTGGCGACCTCGGGAGCGCAATGAGGCGCGAGGGGACGACCCTCAGTCAGTACGCTGCTTCACAGGCTCTGAACAACGATCTGACAAAACTATCGTCCGGTAACTACGAGAAGAATGAAAACAAAGACTCACAATCCATTTCTGAGTCGTCGGCGGATCGGAGGACTGAAAATGAAGATAACTCTGATGCACATACACCAACAAATGAAACTCCGGCAAATAAAACGAAACCAAAGAGTGCCACAAAGTTTCAGTGGAAAAAGAAGCAAGAGCCGTCCGAAGTAGCCGAGTCGAAATACAATTGGAAGAAAAAGAAGGTCGAGGAAAAGTGTTCGCCCTCAACACCAAAGAACCCCTATATATACATACCATGATAATTACTTTTTATTACATGTATAATAAAACATCATATGGATAATAATAGACATTTGAAGATTCCGTCCTCCTCTTCCATATGACTGTGCCTGATGTCGTCAGAACAGAGTTTAAGGAAAGTGATGACGATATGACCAGTTGCGTGATATTCGCTACAGTGATTTTATTGGATCAAAAGTCTGCATATATTTTTAAATAACTTGTACAGAAATTTTTTGTATACATTTCAAGGAATTGAAAAGGGCACGCAAATTAGAAATGATATCATTTAGAGCCAGGTTGAAATCCATATGTTAAGAACCTTTAGGCCCAGCCCAATAGACACCATCGGTCTTCGCACATGTAGATCGATCCATTTCTGCGGTGAATCTCGCTGAGAGCAATCAGCTTAACTGGATGACACGCCTCCTTTTGTTTCCAACGAATTCGAATAAGCACGAACCTTTCTGTATGCAACATAAGGCCAGGAGGAGACGTGCCATGCAGTTGGACTGCTTGCACTCAGCAAGACTTCCCACCGAGTTGGATCGATTTATGGAAGTAGATCATTGGTGTCTATGGGAATGGGGCCTTAGACCTTCTTGAATCTTGTTTTCAAATAGAATATTTTAGATTTAGAAACATTTATGTGTCATTATTTTCTAACCAACGCGTGTTCATAGTATTGATGACAATATATGTTTTTCATACACCTGACATCATTTTATGGTTGGAATCAGTTCTGCAAAAAAATTTTTCATGGTTCCTTTGATCATCCCTTCTATTTAAAATGTTTGTGCAAGCGCATGGTTTGCTATTATTTCACAAAAAATATTCTTAATGCAGAGCTACAATGTACAAAACATGTTTTGGAGAGCCATGGTTTTAAACTGTTGAAAACGTGCACTTAGTATTGATCTGTGGAGACTAGAAATATCTAAGTGATAACACTGTAACTGACAATAGCATATTATATCCGATGATTATGTTTTATTACAAGAAGAAAACGATATTGAAGCCGCGTCGCGATGCCAATTAATGAATTGTGTTCCAAAATATATAATTTTAAAAAACAGTTGCATAAAGGAATAAGGTCTCAAACTGAAGAAATAATAAAAAGTTGTATATATGTGGGAAAACGAGGGAAGAAGAAGTAGAGAAAGACAAAGAACATTATACAACAAATCAACAACTGTACAATAACAAGCTCATCCAATTAACTGAAAATAGAGTAAACTGAAGAACCATGATCGTCGATGTCTGCACCAGGTCTGACACATGGTGATGAAACGTAAAGACGTTTTGTTGACGGCTTGTGACTGATCATGTGGCTTTATATTCAATTCATTTCTGCACTGGTGCAAATATTATCATGAACTTGTAGAATATAATATAATATAATATAATATAATATAATATAATATAATTGGTGCATTACCATTATGTAATTGGTATTTGCATTACCAGTTTGTAAATGAACAAATCTTTTTATATAATTGACAGATGTATTACATGTAGTATAGATACTACTAAAATATTTTAACTAAACGGTGAAATACAACTTATTGGAGTGTTTACATATTAATCGTAAATAAATCATGCAATGTGCGGTAACAATCATATGTAATATATGCCTGTTACAATTTACAGAGAATATGCTAGGAGTTACCAAATTGAGCAACCACTTCATCTCTTTGTTTTAAACTGGAAACGGAGACTAAACTATCTTTGTTGGCACTGTTATACATTTTGTATAATTTACAAAACATGTAGAGCACATGGGTTCTACAAGGTGATCACATCATCCCCTAAGAGACTACACATTAGATTAGTTCTATACCTTTATGTATGGAGAGCAATGTCACTACAGACATATAAAGTTAATGTATGGCATCAGATGATAGATGATGGCTTGTATCTGTTATTACAGGGCAGAGTGGGTGAAGACACTGGGGAGTAAGTAAGTGCTTCATTTATTGATATTTCTGTTGGGAATGTAGTTAAGCGTTGAGTGACTTGACTTTCATTTGGGTAAACTGACAATCAAAAACACGAGTATTAATATGTCTATATTTATATATGATGTTTCAAGCAGTCGATGGAAGCAAAGTGTTACAGAGAATGAAGAAATGTATCCATGTGGTTACACCCGTGACTTTTGTCCTTGGTTTCACTGAGACTTGACTAATGTACATGTATATGTATTATGTTGGGATAGGCAAGTGGAACGAGATGCTCAGTTTACCTCCGAAAACGACATTTGGGGAAATGTGATTAAAAAACTGAGACCGAGTCGAAAATACTTCACATTGATTTTTCTTAACAAATTAGATGCACTTTAAGTAGGAGGGTGTGAGGGGTAGCCAAGGCAACGAAACCTAGATATGCTTGTAACTATTTGTAGATATTTTTAAGAAGTCGATCGCTACCAGTTTTGCGTTTCATGAAGTTCCTTTAATAACCGCCAAATGAAAGAACCCCATATCATTATACCTGGTAATACCATTCTTATTGCAGGACTATTCTCAGTGTAAATATTGCTGATTTCACTTGGCTTCAACCGAATAAAGTGCTCCATGCTTTTCTATCACTTCGTAAAAAATGTATTTTAGAAAATTTATTAGGATGTAACATGCATTTGAGGTGAAAGCATGAATTGTTAAATAAATATATATGGCACTTAAGTATTTTCATTTTCACTATGAAAAAAAAAAAACTTCTTCTAGCGAAGCCGACTGTTGCGTATATTGATTTGCCGGCGCCCCTTCGGATGCCATCTTTCCGAGACAGTCGATTTTCTTTAAAGGCGCGAAAACGCGTACTTTTGAAGCCTTTGTCGCTGTTTGCCGACATCGGCGTCTACCCAGAAACAAGGATACTTTCGTTTGCCTTCTCAGATTCGGAAAACAAAAAATCAGGTGCATTCTATTGCACAACTACAATGAAAGTTAACGTTATTCAGCTCATTTGTTTTCTCACGACTGTACGTGAATTCATGCAAGCTTTACCTGTCAAGGTTTCGGTACTTGCCGCCTTTTCGCAGAAGTGAATGTAAATATTAACCTTGTAATTTTTTAAAGTCGAGCGGATAGAAACTGATACACCTCTCTATCCTTTTATTTGTACTTAAATGATTTCACGACACAATTTCACATATGTTCTAAGTTTAATTATCAAATAGCATGATGAAAATGATGAATTTAAGTCAGACATACCCAGGTAGCGATCAACTTAGAGCGGGGTAAACAGGAGTACATGCCACTTACGATAAACGATTATAAATCGTTAAACAGACGTGCGCGGGGTTTTGCCGCAGAAAAACAATTAACGGATTTTCGCTGCCTGTTACACAGTATTTACTAATCATTACGCTATGGCGTTTCAAACTGAAAAACCCACCATGAATGTCATCTTCAATAATTATTATTTGGCTAAGTGGATCTGTGTGATGCTCATATTTCACGCCGTATCAATCTGCTGATATGCTGACAATTCATACCCCCCCCCCCATGTATCAAATATGTATAGTAGTGTTAATTAACTAATTTCTCACTTTTGATGATCAACACAGTTATATTTTCGTTATTGCGACTATGATTTTAGCTATTAAAGTAACTACTACTCTATCAAATATAATACGATTTATTGTAAGTAATAAGTTATATAGGTGACTGTACATTGGTCTACCGTCTAAAGGCAAATTTATATACAGAGAATAGTCTTAACAGTGGAAATGTTTTGGTAACATTCCATAGGGGCCATTCGGAACAGAAGATCTGAGGATCTACTGATCCATGGATCAAAAAAGGTAGACCCTACATGAAAAAAGAGCCAACTAATCTGCTGATGGTCTCCCCACCTCCACATTTGCCGTTCTTGCAGGGGTCTAGTAATTAAACTTCAGAGCCGTGATTTAACCTGTTTAATGGCCCGGGGATTAGCCAGCTCTTAGAACTTTCATGTAGGGTCTGCCATATTTGATCCGAGGATCTGTAGACCCTTGGATATTCTGTTCTAAATGGCTCTTACACTGGTTGCATGATATAAATATTATTATTGCAACTACAAGAAAAGTAAAAATCTAATAATACATTTACTACTAAAATAGTATGAAATGTATAATATTTTCCCTAAAAATTTTCATTTAAAAATAAAAGAGCTTTTCTTACAAATATATAAAATGATGATTATCATTTTAGCATTACATGCTACAAATCACCTTTAAAATGTCACCTTTAAAATGGTTTTAAATTTGAATTTATGGGCAACTCACAGACCATACACTGTAGAAGTTTAGGTGCCATTTTTCATCCAGTAACACAAACTTAAGTCTTAGACCCCATTCCATACCTAGATTGATCTAGCAGGACCGACCCATCTCCGAGGGGTTTCCTGCTAAATTACGTTCAGCTTAAATGGTTCTGATGTCTGGAGTGCTTACTGGAGCTGTTTTTTTTTTTTGGGGGGGGGGATAATTATCATTTAGCAGCTACAGTAGGCGTGCCATACTAAGTCGCTTAATCTGGACGCAATTTGAATCCCCTTGGAGAAGGGTTGATCCTGCTAGATCAATCTAGGTATTGAAATTGGGTCTTATACTGAAGATATACACAGCTTAAGCATGCATGCAATTTGCCAATGTCAAGAAAGCTCCTAAAGCAATATACATTAAAATGGGAAATACATATGAATATGATTTAAACTACAATATAGCATAAATTATAATACAGATTACTGACTGTCATACAACAATGTGTCAAATCTGTCAAAGTAACAAAAGGTTAATATTCCTAAAATACTTTATCAATATGTTACCTCAAAATTGAAATCTGCCAAAAGTGAAAATAAAACAGCCATGCTATCAAATGAGTATTGCCTAAATCAAATATAACAGTAAAAATGGTGTTTGTACTGCCATACTTATTAATCTCCAAGAAAATATCATAAAATAAATTGCTTCTATGTTTATTGGTCCCTAGAAGATTGGACCCTGTCTTAATAAGGCACGGCATGTGCAATATGCGTCAAGCTGTTCGCCACCAATTTATTTAAAAAATGTCCATGAAATTCTTCATTTGTCAGCCTATATCAATTATATTCATTTATCTTAATACTTTTGAACAAGTCCTTTAGCACTGCACTTCCCAACTGCCAATAATGAAATCTTTCTATCAATCTCTATCAATTTAGTCAGGTAAAGATTGGCAATTCGATACTTTTATTCCCTACTTTTCAGTTAAGTTTGACCATGGAAGTGCAACTATAATATCTGAACATCTATCTAAATGCCAGTCTCGTATTAGCCACTAAAGACTGCACATCAATAATCAAGCGCTGATAATACTTGCACCTTATGATTACAAAGTGTAGAATTTGCTAGAACTAGAACACATTATCAACTGAAGATGGTTAAACCTTCAGACAATGTTCATCATGTAGGACACCTTGTCTCCTCTGTGAACATAAGTTAACAGATTCACTTTAAATACACATCAATAATTTATCTACAAAGTTTGTATATCTGTAACAAACACTTTGGAATAAATGGTAAAACTTCAAAAATAGTTCATCCATGTAATATGTAGTTCTTAAATATACACAAAAGAATTTTTCACTGAACTGTTCAGGGTTGACTTCACAAGTGGGTTTAAGTTTGTTTATTCATGAGGACAAGTTTACATCAAAATCAAAACCTGGTTTCTCCATATGGGTTGCCATACAAATAACTCACCTTAATTCAAAACAAGATCAAAGGCAGAATTAAGACTTAATCACAGGTGTGAAATCAGCCCAAAACCAGGCTATAAAGAACAAAATTTCTTATTATCTATAGAGTTAAAGACTAGAACTTCCAGTACCTAAAAATTTCAAAATAAATGATAAAAAATAATATGAGCTACAACAGTAAATAAATGAAAAAAATTAATAAAATGAATAAAATAAGACAAATATGAATGATCATATACAGTATCTTCCTACAACACAAACATGGCAATGGACTTGCCAAACATGCATCTTGTTGTTAAACTAGTCAGATACTTGAACTTCTACTCTTATTCTATCATGAGAAATATATAAATATTGTTTCTTTTCAAGAAACTCATATCTAACAAACTTGGGCACACCATAAGCTACAAATGAATCCTCAGTGGGGATTGGGTTTTCAATCTCGGTATCAGGGTCATATTGCAGTTCGTATACAATATGGCGTTTCTGCTCACTCTGGTCCAAAATCTTAATGGTCACATTCTGCTTGAAAGGCCAGTCAAGCTTACCATCATTAATTACTGGCAGCAGAACAAAGAAGAGAGACACAAACCCCCTGCTTTCCTCACCATCCCCATTCAAGTACATCTGCAGCTGCATTTTGTACCCAGATTTGTTATTGGTATAGAAAACTGGACTAATAATTGACTCCACAAGATTTTTACGAACTGCACCGAGATAATTTGTCACTGGGTACACATCCCATTGAAAACATTCCTCCTCGCCAGTGTTATCAATCAATATCTCATCTTGCATTACTTTGTCCTTTTCACCAAATGTAATGTTTTTTCCAACTACCACATTGCCTGCAATAAATAGAAATATAATGGGCACTGATAAAGAGTATTAAGTACGTAAGTATCTAAAATTTTCTAAATCACTTTCAGAATGATGAAAAAAATTGCATGCACTATGTGTTTGCCATATAACGTCTTACATTTCTCTTCTAATATCACTGTTGAGTTCATATTTCTACAATTACAAATTTCATGTTTAAAAAATTATGACTCGACTTTTTCCGCCTACATGTTGTATCTCTTTCATGTTGCATCTCACACAAACCAATTCATAGAAACATATAATATTTACCAGTCATATTGGACAGAGTCAGCACATTCTTCAGGGCTGGTTTAAAAAGTTGAGTTTTCTTTCCAGCCACAGGTTTCTTTGAAGCTGCTGGAGTCCCGGTGGTTTCTATTTCATGCTGACTTTCAGGGGTAGGGAATGGATGAAATGCTATTCAAAAAAGAACAGGTAAGTATGACTTTATAACATTCTAATATCTTACCCATATTTGGAAATCACTAACTTGCCAGTTAAAATAACTAAAAATAACAAGAGAATATATATACATGAAGTCAAAACTGTATCTAAAGGAACCATAAGTTTCATGTTTTTTTCTCCAACACAATTCTAATTTCCTTTAAAAGGGAGTCAAAATTTATTAACAGTTATACTAACCAGATGAAACTGCTGGACTTGTGTTGTTATTAACTGAATAACTTGTGTTTCTCATTTCATCAAGTATTCCCTTTGTGACAGAATTCTGTTTCTGTAGAGAGTCAACAGTACTTTTGACAGAGTCAAGGTCAGTTCTTATTGAAAATAGGGATGTCTGAAATGGAAATAATAAGTTGTATCACCAACAACAGACAAGGTTTTGGATTACATGATTAAAAGGGAACAAATGATAAGGTGGACTTATGACAGATAATCAGAAGGCACTTCAGGTAGAAAATCAACAAGCAAAAATGTCCGATTCCCAATTTAAATTGTGCTAAAATTATGCCTGCAACAATAATTCTGGAAGGCAGTGATTTTATGATTTATCTGATATATATATATGATATACATAGATATGTCTTTACCTTGGTTTCCTTGTGTTTTTTCTCGCAACATTTACTGTGCAAATCCAAATGGGAGCAAACAGCTTCTTTCCTATGAGCCCCAAGATCAGCTGATTTTCCCTTGAAAAATTGCATATTTAAATGTAGAAGATCACTTTAGTGTGAATCATTAAATGGAACTTGCCACGTTAAAGAAAATCAAAATTTTAACAGCAATTGCGGCCTTTACAAAATCAATTAAAAGTACTGTGTAAACAAAACTAATTCTAAAATATAAAAGAATTATCGGTTCATGCCCAGTTTCTATTAGAACAATGAGTAATCCCTGTGACTTTGAAGAAAAATGGTGAAACTGGCAGTAAAAGAAATGACAGTAAACTAAATGTAAACAGCTCAAGCTTCTGCTTGTGTGACAGACAAAGGTGAGAGCAATATATATTTAAACACTACTACTAAATCTTGGCTTTTAAATTTGAATATCAAATTATACCTACTGCATAAGTACATCCAACCAAGACAAAGTGACACTTGCTGTCTTGAGTATCATAATGTTTCTCAATGTGTTCATCCAACTGAAATAGTATTTCAGAAATAAATACATTCAAAACAAAACAATTCCAGCTATTGTTTAAACAATGGAAATTCTTTCTAAATGCACATAAATCACTATTAATGTTATAAAATGAAATTACTACTGACTTTGCCAAAGCAAATTTACTAAAGTTCACTTTTGACGGGGAGACCATAATTTCTTAAACAAATTTTTCACTATTATTACATAATTCAATTTGAAAGTAAATTTTAGAGATTTAAATTAAATATGTTATGCTGGCTTTATCATCAAAAAAATCTGATGATCTGACATACTGATCTTAAAAACTTATATTACATACTCCACTATTGCCTCCTTAATAAAATAAATTGTGACCAGAAAACAACTAAGTAATGGACAGCTGAAAAACTGGCAGCTCAGAACATCAGGATGCTCCTCTTTTTGAAAAGTGTATTTATATCAAAGTTAGTATATATAAAGAAAAACAACTCCGACATCTCCTACTTTAAAATATGTGCATATTCAGGTACACACACAAACACACACACACACAAAAAAATTAATTTATGAGTGATCATGACAACAGTATACCTGTCCTTGTGCCACTGTTTCTGAACACACTGGACATCCAGTTTTCCTCACTTTACAGGTGCTCACATGCTAAAAGAGGGAAATTGTACAAAGAAAAATGTTATTTTCAGATTACTTCAATTTATCCTCATTTGAGACTGATGTAAACATCTGTTAGATAATGTGCTTTAAGTAAGAAAAGATTGAATCATTACAAAAATTGTTAAAAAATGATCTACTAACTGCTACAAACAATTTGTATATAATTGTAAGGGTGCTAAATTGAACAATGCATGCAGTCAGAATAATGGCGGTTATGCTGTACATAAAAATAGTACACAACATTTTATTACATAAATTTCAGTTCAAAAACAGAATCAAAAATACCTGTCCAAAAGCAATGAGTGGCACTTCATTTTCGCAGTGAGGGCATTGCTGTGGCCTGTATGCACAATTGTTGGCGTAGTGAGTTTCTAACTCTTCTGGTGGAACTGACTGACAACAACCTTTGTCGTGGTATTTACAAAGAACACTGTTCTGTAATCATGATGTCCCAAATTATATGTAACATCTCAATATAAAAACCACTATATTCCTCAATCAATGTTATACAAATTCCCAAACATTTTCTTATCCTACATCTCAATCCAGTTCACAAATTTAAGATCAATGATAGATGAGTAAGAAAAAATTGCTTTTTTCCAAGAAAAATTCAATCTGGCAAGAAAATGCCAAATTATAGGATACCTTTAAGGTTACCAAATCTACACAGTTGTTTGTGATCCTAATATCATGATTCCTTTTGCTTTCAGGTCATACCGTACTAATGGACTTATAAGATGACGCAAAATACAAACATACACATTTTGACAACTAAATCATTCACTTATTTTTCTATGAAAAACAAATTATGCAAAACCTAAAATATCAGTCACTGTGGCAAAAGTTTAATATACCAGATGGTTAAAAAAATACATACTACACCCTGAAGCTGCTTTAATGTGGGACTTCCCCTGGGACTAGATGATGAGACACTGCTTGTTGGAGAACTGCGATTAAGGTTTTTGTAAGATGCCTTGTACTTTGGTGATGGACATGACCCACTGCTCTGTGACCTCCTTCCTGTTATAGTTAAAGATATGTTTAAGACACAAAATATAATTTTCAGATACAAATAAAATGATAATTAATTACTCCCTAGCAGCTTCAGTAGGCATGACAGACATCTAAGCTGCTTAAGATAGCAAGCATCACATGATATGTAAAAAAAAAAATTAATCCAGCCAGGGTAACCAGCCTCTATTAAAAACTCTTGATAAATTCTACACTAAGGAAAAGATTGAAAACCTACTTTTATGTCCCTTAGATGGTCTAGCTGTTTTATCTTCTTCCATCAACTCTAAATGGAAAAATTTTTTTAAATAAGAAATATGTCCAAAATTAAACAAGCACATACAAGTTCTTGAATACATTTCAGATAAAATTAATTACAGTAGGCCAAAGTAATTTGATCATTTCTTTCATTGTTATTATTATCATCAAAGTCATTATCATTACTTATGAAAGTGGATATAATGGTGAATCAAAGCCGTTTTTGTTGAAATCAATCAAAAACATTGTAATGTTTTAATGCATTCATGACTAAGACAATTTAATAGATCCTGTAGAATATAATCAAAGGTCCAAGAAGGAGGACCCATAGAAAATACTTATTCCGCTATAATATGATCAGCAAGTAGAACATGTATGTGTATACCTGTCAGAGTTGCATCAAGTTTATCTGCTACATGTTCTTGTCCTTCTTTTATCAGTGCTCTTCTGAGAACATCATAAAAATGTGGCGGACCATGTGCAGTTAGATGATCAATCAACCATTCTGAACCCTCTCTCCTTGTTTGTAAGGCCTTGAAATCGGCATGGTCTCTTGGTGTTACAACTCTCTCTTGAAGTAGGTAACTTATCAGATGCTCACTTTTTAATTCTTCCACCAAATCTACCCGATTCTTTTTCAGAGTTTCTTTGTACATTAAATTCTTTCTTTCATCCATGGCCTATGTAATTATAAATAAAAAAGAGAACTGAAAGGTACATGAATATTTTATACATTTGAATATATTCTGAAGTGACAATGTCATGTCAGTATCTTGCAAAATGTCATATCTTTCCCAATTAACACCTTTTAAAATGATAATAAATAACCCTCAAATAAATGTACCTGGTGTCTATTTTTCTTTTCTGAAATGTTCAGGAAACACAATACAATTTGTTTGGAGTGCAGGCCAAGAGACAAACTAAGTAATGATTTGTGAATGAAAATATTTTTTAAAGAAAAATTAGATTGGGCATGGAAATCCAGTAAATCTGCAATTAAGAAAATATATGGCTTTTCTGAAAGGTTTCTGACTCTCAATTACTGGTGCCCTGGACCTTATGTACAGTAATAATTAACGATCAATCTTACAGGTAGCAAACTTTGAATTAACGACCTAAAACGTATACGGTTTTCGCCACAACTTTAAGTTTAATCTTCACTTGGCTTTGAAGGCGAGTGAAAAGAATTTTACGTCATGCTATCCTACATCTGAAAAGTTAGCCTTTACGCTGTTTGCTCTGAAAACGATCGTCCTAAGAAATATGGAGTTTACTGACAATAAACACTCCATCCACGATCCTTTCAACATATTAGCGACTGGCGATAATATGTTAGCTAGCACTGATTATTGAAACCCGATATTGTTTTTTTTTAATCAAAACTTGGACATAATAACGAAATAACGTTATTATGTCCAAGATCAAAACAATTTTAAAGCCAATAAAGGACGACGTGAGTTAAATCATGGTAGATCTATTTATTTAACATAAAATAGTTTCAGCGCAGCTTATCACAATCAGTATCAGTGTACCAGCAAAGATACTACAGACTCCAAATGAGTCGACTAAACTGGATAAAATGAATAAATGAAAATAGCCTACCCTGCTTGCTGCATGCCATTAAAAGCTTATTTGTAGAATTTGCGGCGTGCCGTTATCTTATTTGGTTCCCTTCCCTATCTTTACACTGCAATAGGGAAACGATTGATGATCAGAACGATTATTGCAAATTTTACTTAGTACTTATTTATACCTTTTTATGATTCAAGAGATAAATTCATTAAACTATATCAAATGTTAGCTTTAGGATATCTCTTCGTCTTTTTTTTTATCTCTCACTTGTGGGGGGCGTATGTTTGGACATCAAAGCAGCCACGGGGATTCCCCCCTAATACGGGTACTTAGTAATACATTAATGCTGTCACAGTAAGAATTAATATATATTTTCAAATGGATATATTTGTATTTTCAATTACAAAATCCATATACGATTAATAATAATGTCCTGTTATTTTTTAAAACGGTGTTACCTCTTCATCTAGGTCAAGGCCACCAGCTGTAAACACAGCGTGACCTAGTTAGTGTAATACATGCAGGAAGGCAATTTTAGTACTGTTGTTATACCAAAATAAGACAAATATGAAGGTTGTGGGTTATTGATACATTTTTTCGCACTATTTGGCATCATGACACATAACGAGGAGCGTGCTCATTGGATCAAAGAGGGCTTTATAGGCCTTGGAGGTAACAACGCAAACGTATTTCTAATTTATTTTAGTATAATAATATAAATAATAATGACAAAGGTAAGTATCTATTATTTTTATCGAAATTAGTATCATTAGTTAATTGACCTTGGAGGTAACAATTCCAACATAATTCTAGTCTTTTTTAGTGTATTAATAATAATAATAATAATAATAATAATAATAATAATAATAAAGGTAAGTATTTATTATAATCAACATTTATATCATTAGTTCATGTTGTCGAACATTTCAATTTGAACAATTGCAAATGGGCTATAAGACAAAAACAAATGTTCAAACAAACCTCTCTGTATCTTGTACTAGTATATTCTGGGAATATAACAACAATCTACTGAATACTAGTACATGTACAGGTTTAATAATTCTTAAATAAAGCATAAAATTCACAAAGTTCTGCACAGGCCCAGTGTTCTTCTTCTTCTTCTTCTTTTTTTTAATGTGTAAATCCACATTATACTATTATTCAAATCTCATTACATTTTAATAGTGAATATTTTTTTACAATTGTTTGTAAGATGTAATTTTAATTATTTTAAAAAATACCAATATGTCCCTGTATCAATTTCAGTGGGGGTACTGTATGGCACCACCAGTGTTGCAGTGGGGCATCCCTTTGACACGATCAAGACCAAGATGCAGGCACAAGTAGGCTTTGAAAAAGGTGGAATGCTGAAAACATTAGCAAAAACAATCAAGTCTCAAGGAGTGATAGGGTTATATAGGTACAGTATTGCATGCAAATGGTAATGTATTTCAAAACTTTATTGTTAATTTAAATCTTATATCTTGCATGTAAGCTGCACAGAAGCTTATATTCAACAAACGCTCACAGCACATGCATTTAGATCAAACTGTTTAATTGATAGCCACCCTGTTTCTTTAAAAAAATTAATTTTATTTCGATTTAAAATGATTAACTCATTGCCTGTGTCAGATGTTGCCCCACCTTCATATATAGCACTTCTCTGGATTTTTTACTCATAAACACAATAAAAAGAAAACTACTTGCTAATTATTCTCAAACTTACAGGAATGGTTGTCATGTCTGAAAAACAGTTTGGTAATGGAATTTTTTTTTTTTTTTTTTTTTTTTTTTACAAAATAGGCATTTTTAGGTGTGATTTTGGGGAAATCATAGCAACCAAAAAGTTTAAGTTATACACTGAAATTTGTTCTTTTGTACGACAATGTGCATGATAAAATCAAGTAAGCACAGGTTAATTAAAAAGTAGTTAAAGAAAACAGAATGCTGAAAATTTTCTGTTTTAAACTTTGACACTGTGCTACAAGTAGAGGGCAGTTTGGCATGTTTAAGTTTGCATAGATAATGAATATGTTTGAACTATTTAAGGTCATTATATGTAAGGAAAACACAATAGTTTAAATTCATGCTCTCTGCTGACAGTTGTGATATTATGCTATTATGTCTTGTTGCATCAATATAGATTTTAAAAACCAATTTTATACTCTTGTATCAATAAAATTGGATGTTCATCATTTTAGGGTGCTGCCATCAGTTTTGTCCTTTATATGTCTGTCCATTTTTCACCTTTGCTACTTTGTTAAATATTAAGTTTTTACAGTAATCTGGATTTATGTGGAATATATTTGCACTTATTTCAACACTAATCTAATGGCCTGTGTCTTCACTGTTTTTACAGAGGCTGTATTCCACCCCTCTGTGGCTCAGGGATTTACAGATCTACACAGTTTGCAGTGTTTGAGGCAGTGTAAGTACATCAGCAGGTGCTCTCTTATGTAATTATCCAGTTGTTTGTCAATGATGTTTTGCTGAATATGACATTATCTAGTTCTTTTGCTTGTAGTCTAGTACTGTTGCTTACTGCTGTTTGTCATCAGTATTTACTGTTTAGTCAAAAGCTATTTTGATCATTTGATTTACACGGTACTATTACCTTTGACTACATCTCACCAACTGTAACAGATTAGTATTGTGATATTTTAGGTATACAAAGATGGACAGTAATTTTGGAAAATATGAAATACCAGCAACTGCAGGCCTACAAATGTAAGTTTTCACAGAAAATTTAAATTAGAGCACCAAATATAGACATGTCAAGGGAATTGTTTTCCAATATAAGTGGATAGAAATGTAAAGTTGAACAAAGCACTGAGATTGATATTGTGATGAAAATCATTGAAAAACATTTTCAAGGTACATTTAGACATCTGAAAATATTTCTAAAGATATTTATGTTTATAACAGTAAATTTTAAAACACGAAGAGGGGACATTGATTTTAAATGTTTTGAAGGAATAGGATATTCACTTGCAAATTATGTTTTTTTCCATTCAACAGCCGAGTTATCATTGGTGGATTGGTTGCATCTACTGCAAGGGCTGTTATTGAAACACCACTAGAGTATGCCAAGGTTTGAAAATATTGAAATTATTAAGAAAAATTTTGTTTATTTTGTTAAATGTAATACTTTTTGTCTCATTACTCTTCTTAAAAGTCCTTTCCATCAGATAAGAAACATTTTATGCCTAATTTGACTATTTTGATTTCAGATTCGTAGACAAATCCAGTCAACATGGACAATAAGAGAAGTTTACAATGTTTGTATGAATTTAAAATTTTTCCCTTTTTAAAGTAATATCTATGAGCTTTTATAGATGTAAAAGAATTACCGATATTTGAATTACAAGTAAAGCTCTCAGATATTTAAAATATTGATACAAGAAAGATTATTATACTGTCAATTCAAAAGTATGGGATAGTTTGTGACCACTATGCCGTTCTGAATCTAATGTCAAACAAATATGTCTCAGTGTGCTAATTTTTAAAATTAATGTTGCTGTAACTGGTACAGTATTATTTTTCAGGGTTTTGGCATAAGTTTAAGCAGAACACTGGGTCTGATGACATCATATTTTATAATGGTGGATTACATAAGGCGTAACCATGCTGAGCACTTCCAGCGCCCTCTGTTGGGACCATTTTTGACGTCAGGCATTGCAGCCACTTTAGCATGGTGGCTGGTCTGGCCTTTAGAGTTTATGAAGTCTCAAGTTCAAGGTGGATATGGAGAGTAAGTTGTTTCACTTCTCTTTCAAAATCACAGTAGTACATGTGTGAAAATTTGATCTCTGTATTGCAGTTTCAAAATGTTTTACATATTATTGTGTGACACTGATATGTGAAGTACAAATATTATATATATTTCAGTTTTAAAGGAAAAAGAATTTTAAAAAATGATTGTAAATTTGTCCTTTCTTAGGAAAATGCCAGTTCTGAAGAGGATGCAGTTGGTAATCAAGGAAAGAGGTGGGTTCTTTGCCCTGTACAGAGGCCTGGGTCCAGGCACCATTCGCAGCTTCATTGCTAATGGCAGCAGTATGGTTGTGATGCAGTGGGCTCAGAGGAAAGTGTCAGAGCTGGGACTGAGAGATTAGCCCTCATTTGTGATATTTTTCTGTAGAAATACTTTCAAGGTTCATTATTTCTTAACTGCTGATATGGTGTTATGTTGGGGATACAAGTTATGCATATATTGATCAATGTGAATACAGATTTGGTCCTATTATAATAGAAAATATATGCTCATTTTGGTTGATTGATCTATTGATTGATATTGGATAGTAGGTGAAGGCAGAATGTAATCTTTGGGGTATCATTCTCTTTACAATTTGTGTGATGATAACAATGACATTGAATTGTTACATCAAAATAAAGGCAGCTATACATAAACATGGTGCACTTGATATATATGTATTGAAGGATTTATGTCTTAAAAAGATGGTCCAAATTGTTAAGAATACGTCTCTTTTTTAGTGCCATCTTGACTTGGTCAGGAATATTTTTACATTTATATGTTAAACATTTATACTTTGCATGCCAGTTAAGTAGTGACTGCTGAGTTGGCAGATGCAAGATTTATTACCACTTCCATGTAATCTTGGTCAAAATGTGATGTGAGAATAGAAAACTGGTTTTTCCATATGCACAATATTAGTAAAACAATCAGTTACATGCAGCGAAAAAATACATACTAGGCAAATGTCAGATGTCTTCTGTACATTGTAACTATATTCCAGAGCAGACTAAAACTTTTATTCATGTAATAAACTATTTTATATTTTGAACTTGTTTTAAAACTCATAAGTTTTGATCTCACACTGCAATGTGTTTGCAGTGACTTTCATACAGCTGTTATGGAGACCTTAATGCATCTCGCAAAACCTTCAGTAGTTAATGACTAGTCATTGCAAGATTTGTTTATGTAATCCTTTTCCATTATATAGGTAAATCTAATTAGGGAAACTGTAACAACAGTTGTTAATTAAGGAGTGAACCTTTCATGAAATCATGGTTGAATATGCAGGTGGTTATTGAAGGTATTTAGTTTTTTAATTTGGTGTTTTTGCAGCAATTGATAAAACAACATATTGCCATCCATTTTCTTTTTTTGAAAACAGTACATTCATTAAAAAGAGACCAAAAGGTTATATTCTTTAATTTGACAATATTTTACAGCAACCATGCCCAAAAGTGACTGTAAAATAACATTGCATGTTATTTATCATACATTTATATATGCCTATGCAGGCAGAGTAGGATATTAAGTTCTACAGACAAGTAAGACCATGCACTGCAGGGACAGATCCAGGCTGACCCCCCCCCCCCCCACCCCTCTATCTAGGGTGACAGTCTTGCCAAGTCCGTTCATTAATTGCGTATAATTAATGAAAAATAAGAAGGCCTGGATCTGTCCTTGCACTCTTTATAGTAGCAACTGTAGCCTTTTTTATTGGGTGGTTATCTCACATTTCACCCTAGGGTAAATGAGATTTAAATATTTTATTTTTAGTTAAAATATCCTTATTACATAATTGTTACCTATATACTCTGATATTTATGCACAGATATAGCAATCTGTTTTATTTGTCATTTAAACTCACATTTAAAAGGGTAAAATAATGTGATTTTAAACGTATTGTGATATTCGGTATTTGTCTGGTCATTCATGCCCAAAAACTAAATCACCATTGGGAAGGTTAGCAAGGTCTCTGTTGTGCCAGGATAATTTTGATCTTCATTGGAATGGCCGAAATCAAAATGGCATTGGAATCTGTATCAGATGTCATGAAGTCATACATGCCCCACAGAATACACCATCTGGGTCTTCACTGGCAAGGCACAGAGCCAGTGTTGCTGTGGATGTTTGAAAAAATGGAGCATGACAGTGCAAAAAAATTCATTCACTTATAACCATACAATGGATCCTTTGAAAGTATATATCCAGAAGAATTTCCATAAGATGATTCCTGAATTTAAATATATTCCATAAGAAGATTCCTGAATTTATACATTTATATTTATACTTCGAACCTCCCTTTTAACCCACATCCTGTTTTGTTCTTATTTTCCCATGCATTCCTTTATGCATATAGAATGTAAAAGAAGTGGCAGATGATGAAGTAAATAATGTGGTTTTAACACTGGTTTTGTGTTTTTGTTTAATAAAACTGATGTGTTTCTCCATTTTGTGTTACTTCTGATAATTATTACGAGAGAGAAGTTTTTCTTAGGGCCATTACAATTAATAGTCCGTAGGTTCATTGGTCTGAATGTTCAACAGTTTGAATGTGTGAATAACGTATATTGATAATAAAGTTCTTCAGAGGCAGGTGCATAGCCATAATACAAAAATGTAAGATTTGGGGAGTAGGCCTACATTCTACCAGGGGCGTAGATAAATTATGTACACTTTTCTTTTATGTCTTACCCATATTGTATAATTATCATTTCCTCAATACATATTCACAAACGATAATTATACAATATTTCAGACCAGTGAATCTTTGGACCAATGAACCTTCAAGAGTATTGAGACATCCCCTTTTTCTTTATCATTGATACATGTATATCAAACATACCAATAATATGTAACCTTTGAATAAAATTTTTTTAAAATCCAATAAATGTTTATTATTTTAAAATTTAAACTCGCTTTGAGCACCATGCAGAATGAAAGAATGTGATGATTTTTGTACTGTGTACTTTAAATTTTTTCACATCAAAAGGTTTTGAACTATTCAAACATTTGACATAAAAAGTCAAAATAAAAATAATATCCTCTTTCCACAAATAATTCAACGTAAGATGGAAACAAATTGGAAAATGTCAAGAGTAACTGCCATTGTAAATAGCACTTTCAAAGCAAAACAAATGTTTGTTATTTAATTACTGAAAAGTCTATCATTGAATAATTTAATACTAAAATGTCTCTTAACTCATTATGTAAAAACAAATTGCACTTCCATTTGTCTTTAAACTGTCTTTGACTGTTGTCATGTCTACTGGAGGGAATTGCCTTCAGCAAGCATAGCACCAAACCTGAAAATATGAATAAAATGAGAAAGTTTTTCAGCCTGTGACTATTGAAAATCTACTTAGTGAAGAGATCATTGAGGGCAAGTTTCTGATTTTTTCTATGCTTTTATAGCCCTGGACAAGAGTTCATAACCATGCAATTTAAGTGTTTGATAAAAAATGAAAGTATAACACGTTATATCACTTTTCAACACCATCATAATAAGTATGTATGCCTGCAATATTTTTCTTTACCTTTTTCATCGCTAAAACTAACTGATCTCAGAGCTAAGTTGTCAATTGTTTTTGATATAAAGTATCTGATGTTGAGACATTGTCCAAAGGCCCTTTTCACATTGACCACAATTGTTTGTATTGGTCCACTTTTAGAGATTGACGACTCAGTTTGGCTATTACTAAAGAGCCCCATGGAGCCCCACCCCAAGACATGGCCAGTTAATCAGATTAATTTTGACTGGTACACCAGGGTTTGTGAAAGGGGGTGATTACCCCTAGCATAATTAAATGATAGGACAAAGTAAACTGGTGCAGAGTAAACAGAAAAGTGAACCACTTGATGCTAAAAGGACCATACATACCTATCTAATGGCACAGCAGTAAGCACCACATTTTCTAAGGAGACTGTATGGGGAATATAGACCATTAGCTGTGTCTGGAAACCTTTTTGTTTGAGGTAGTGCATCCTTCCAAGGTCTATCAGTCTTTTGCATTGTTTTCCAATATCTTCTCTTTGTTTTGGAGTAAGTGCTCCATACCTGAAACACAAAATAAAATGTAAAAAAAAAAACCCTTAAAAATAATAACCTATTCAGGAGTTTGTACAGATGAGAACACTTCTAAACAAATAGAACACGTATAACTGCTTTTTCTAAGCTGAATTGTTCATGTCATCTGAATATAGAATATAAGTACATGAAACTAAAACCTGATCTATAGACCGGTAATACCTTGGATGATTATAACCACTGTCTTCATTTTTTGCATGTTCACCACCATCATCACTATTATGTTCGTCTATGTGTTTGTCATGATTTTTCTGTTTCATGTCACTTTGACAGCTGCTTGTTTCACTTTGGTCAGGCATATTTTCCTCAACTAAAGTTTTGTTTTCAATTTTGACTAGATTTTGATCCAGTGAGGAATAAGGGGTTGGAGCTTTGCTTGGTTCCTGTGCTGAACTGGATTTTTCTGCAATAGAAGAGACATTTTTCATTGGAATGAGTTTCCTAAAATCAAACAACAACAACAAATAATAATAATAATGATATTTTAATAATAATAAAATATTTTATTTGTACATTTAAATTCTTACATTTAAATTGGTAAATATCACTGCAATTATCCTCCACTGTATTAATACCAAGAAGAAGAGCCGTTTGGAAACATTTAAGAATTTCTTTAACATGATTTTTCCACCAGATTGTATTTTCCTCTAATAGGCAATTTTCTGCAACTCGTGAATCTTTGCTTGTCCCATCCCTGCATTTGAATTCTATGTTTTNCCCCTGCATTTGGATTCTATGTTTTCTACCATTTTAAATTAAATAACTGAGTTTTAAAGACTGGCCAGTCATTTAGTTTACCATGTTTTTTAGTACATTTCATAAGGAAATACCGACATCAGGTACTATTGTTGGCAGGGTTTATCACATTTTAAGTCTGAACTGGGAAAGATAGCTTTTTAGGATACTCCAACATTGTGACAGCAGATGTGACTTTGTGATTTTCACACACAGATAATATACCTCAATACTGACTTGTGCAGTTGATGGAAGTAGAACAAGCATTACATATCTTACCCACACCCTTCTTGTTTGGCCTGTATCCACAAGTTGCCCAGCTTGACATGCTGGTCACCAGCTGAAAGTCACGGCCAGTCAGTCCATGCTGAGTGAAGAAATCTTTACCCACAAAATGTGTCCATGAACAGCGATGATGGCAGCAAAGTGCTATAATGATTCCTTCAATCCAGCTGGAAATATCAGAAAGGATATTTATTGGCTCTAAAAGCATTACATATCTTACCCACACCCTCCAACAACGTGTTTTGTAACATTATGGTAAGCATTTTTATAAAAACTAAAAAAAAACTATAATCTTATCATTTGCATAAACTAAAAAACTGCAATCTACTTGCCTATTTTCTTGTTTTTCATTTGGCTTGGTTGATTCATCCACTTTCTGCTTTTTGTTAACGTGGCCTAAATCCCCTGTACACTCTTTTTTATATTTATTAGACCCTACCATGCATCGCAATGTCAGATCTGAAAAAAGGCATGCACGTTAATATATATAATCCAATAATGCATAAAAAAAAAAGAAACTAAAATTTTCCCTTCTAGAAAAAAATCTTTAAAAACCTCATGTAGGAAGACATGCCGTACCATACAACATGAAACTAAGCCATTAAAATAATCACTTCCTTCATGAATACTTTTTCTTAATAATATTAACTTTCATATCAAGAACAAAATGATAGTGGGACAAGTTTTGTCGTTTGTTGTCCAATGTTTTGTTTTCTATAACCATATGAATTATCACCTGTCAGGGATTGTGTATATGTTCAGATCTAATCAAATTTAAGAACTATTTTGTTATAGGTTAAAGAAAGCATAACATGTGATTATTAAACTTATTTTAACTTGAGTGTCTCTAATCTACACTGCAATCTTTCTCACCAAGCCATGTGAAGCAAAATTATCTCTTTCCATATACTTTGTTACATTCCTGTTTAAATGGAGAGGATGGTTCTTTCCTTTGGTGTAAACTTTGAAACACAATTTCATAGCTGGCCTCAATAAAATAATCAAAACTAGAGGATCAGAGAGGCGATACNTCCCTGCATTTGAATTCTATGTTTTCTACCATTTTAAATTAAATAACTGAGTTTTAAAGACTGGCCAGTCATTTAGTTTACCATGTTTTTTAGTACATTTCATAAGGAAATACCGACATCAGGTACTATTGTTTGCAGGGTTTATCACATTTTAAGTCTGAACTGGGAAAGATAGCTTTTTAGGATACTCCAACATTGTGACAGCAGATGTGACTTTGTGATTTTCACACACAGATAATATACCTCAATACTGACTTGTGCAGTTGATGGAAGTAGAACATGCATTGCATATCTTACCCACACCCTTTTTGTTTGGCCTGTATCCACAAGTTGCCCAGCTTGACATGCTGGTCACCAGCTGAAAGTCACGGCCAGTCAGTCCATGCTGAGTGAAGAAATCTTTACCCACAAAATGTGTCCATGAACAGCGATGATGGCAGCAAAGTGCTATAATGATTCCTTCAATCCAGCTGGAATTATCAGAAAGGATATTTATTGACTCTAAAAGCTTCATCTCCAACAACGTGTTTTGTAACATTATGGTAAGCATTTTTATAAACTAAAAAAAACTATAATCTGATCATTTGTTTAAACTAAAAAACTGCAATCTACTTGCCTATTTTCTTGTTTTTCATTTGGCTTGGTTGATTCATCCACTTTCTGCTTCTTGTTAACGTGGCCTAAATCCCCTGTACACTCTTTTTCACATTTATTAGACCCTACCATGCATCGCAATGTCAGATCTGAAAAAAGGCATGCACGTTAATATATAATCCAATAATGCGTAAAAAAAAGAAACTAAAATTTTCCCTTCTAGAAAAAAAATCTTTAAAAACCTCATGTAGGAGGACATGCCGTACCATACAACATGAAACTAAGCCATTAAAATAATCACTTCCTTCATGAATACTTTTTCTTAATTATAATATTAACTTTCATATCAAGAACAAAATACTAGAACAAAATGATAGCGGGACAAGTTTTGTTGTTTGTTGTCCAATGTTTTGTTTTCTATAACCATATGAATTATCCACTGTCAGGGATTGTGTATATGTTCAGATCTAATCAAATTCAAGATTTATTTTGTTATAGGTTAAAGAAAGCATAACATGTTATGATTATGAAACTTATTTCAATATGAGTGTCTCTCATCAACATTGAATTCTTTCTCACCAAGCCATGTGAAGCAAAGTTATCTTTTTTCATATACTTAGTTACATTTGAACGGAGAGGCTGGTCCTCTCCTTTGATGTAAACTTTGAAACACAAGCTAGCTTTATTACAATAGTAACAATAACAATGATGATGATGATGATGAAGACATTGATGATGACAATAACAACAATAATGGTATTACCAGTTGCAGCTCCACACAAGTGCTTGCTCATCCCTACCACAGCCCTGGGATGGTCGATGACTGTTGGCACTTTACCTGATTAATATTGATGAAAAAAATTATTACTAGTGTATGAGTATTTGGTGAGACTTAATTACATAAACCTTTAAACTCAAATGTGTTTTAATCAATAGGGTCTACCATAATGATATATGGGACACTCTAACTAACTAACTTAATTACATACTATCGATACTTCTTTGTCAAATAATCAATAATTCAATATCATGTATCTGATTTAAAAACTCACTCAGACAAAGATGCTCTATGTCCATTCTCAATCTTTCAAATATAGGACCTTCTTCTTTGTTGTTATGGTAGTTATCCATCTACAATTGCAATATTTTATTTTATCATTATCAATAACCAGAACAAAATAATATTAAAATAACTTCCAAACAATATCTCAGTTTTGTTTCAGAGCCTATACCTAAACAACACACAAATACATTAAGAACATTTTTGCAACTTGCCCCTATCCAACACTCAGTACTAGAAACAGCACAGGCATGGTGATAACCTATGTGATTTTATAACTTTGAATCTTCGCCATCTGCTGTTTATAGAAAATTTAAAAAGGAATGACAAAACTGTCCCATTTTCTAGAGGGCACAATGACCTACCTTGTACCTTGCTGTACCCCTGTCCACTAGTATGTAACTATTGTCCTTGGATTCTGGAAGAGCCAGCTGAACCCAGTGGGACAGTGCACCTGTTGTGTGAGATAATAATAATGATCATAATAAAAGACAACAAATGAACCTGTGGTTTTCAGGGTATGTCTGAAATGAGGGTTGAGATCATAAAAGCTCAAAGTTGTGTAATGATATTACAGAATTTGAAGGCTGAGTTACAGTTAGATATCAATAAATATACCAAGCTTTTTCTTTTCAACAATTAATCCATCAAAACTTACTTTAACTCAAACTTGGAATTAAACATCTTAAAGTTAAACTGGATTCAATCTTAATAAATGCAAGACACAAAGTAATCTAAGCCAACTGACCTTTTCCTGCTCCAAATTCTACAAAACATGTTCCATCCTTCAACAAACCTAATTTCTGCATATGAGCTACCAAGGATGACTGTAACAAAATAAATGACAGTTACAGTGCATTGCAACTAACACATTTTGAAAACAAGTTTTTCCCTCACAAATTTGTCACTGTTTTTGGCAAAAAAAACGTTTGGCATAAAATAGACATAGAAAGTGTAGCTAATCATTAACAAATGGTGAAATGTTCTCAAATTTATGACATATCTGGAATTACCAAATTCATTATAAAACACACCTGCTGTCTTCTGTGTTTCAGTGCAGCTTCTCCATATGTTTTATTGCTCAGCTCTTCCCTCATAACTGGATGCTCAAGGATTTCCTCCTGGATGAGTAGCTGGCACTCTAGGATAAAAATGTTTAAAATTTTAAGTTTTTAAGTTACCATCTGGTGAAAGTATGGCCCAATTACTCTCATCCACTGCATCTGCAAGAAGAAAATGACATGGTTCTACCATATTTACCAGCTGTTATATTTGGATACATGAATGTAAACAATAACATACTTTCATGGATATTCTTGACCTTTTCTATCAGTTGGAAAACCTCTTCAACTGGCACTGTCAGGATTGTGACCTATGGTGTATAACGAAATGAAAAAGTATATTTTTAATTATAAAACAGAATGAATTACATTCAGGTGAAAATAATATTTAAATATCAAAATATATGCACTATTTTATAGCACTGAATAAACCTCACCTTCTCTGTCTCAGTTTCATCCTCGCCATATCCAGAATTAACAGATTTCTGGTAGCAGGCCTGAAAGGGCAACATTCAGAATACAGACCATAAATTAAATTTTTAATGTTATCAGTTATGCTCTAAAAACAATAGTTCTAATTCCGCACATGTATAGACATCACTGCAAATCAGTAGGTCAGAGATATAAAATTTAGCATACAGACCAAATTATCTGTGTTGTCTTTGCTTGCCAAGACTATAACAATGTGAAATGTAAGCACGTGCAAGGTGAAGAGAACTCAAAGACTGATGGTCAATCAAACCAGTACTTGAAAATTATTGAACCCAGTAAAAAATCTGCCAGTGTAATGTTTTGCTATTTCTAATGCTTGATTTTGTACTAATTTTAATTCTCTTATCAAAATTCTGGTGTACATTCAACAAAATATTTCCTGATAAAAACCTCTAGATGTTAATGCTTACAGGTTGTACTTTTTCTCGGGCATTGCACTTTTTAAGGTGCTTCTTCAATTTGCTTTTATAGCAGGAGCTGAAAATATGACTTTTCTCATTTAATAAAACATACATAAAATATAAAAATAAAAAACATATATTCCAGGACTCCCTTTATATTTCTTTCAATTCTAAAATTTAGTTTATATCAGAAATGAATTTGATAAATTGGTCTTTTTTGGTTTAAGTCAGGCACTTTTAAACATGGTGTACAAACCTGTACTTACTGCTTTGGATCTAATGGACAGGGAATTCTTTCTTGATCCTTCAATTCCTACGGTAAAATGCAATAATGCTGAGGCAGTCAAGTCACATTATGATTATTATCATCATTATTACGCTAATACATTATTCTAATTTACATGTACTAGTACATGTACACAGATAAGATATTCTGCTTGTCGTTTAACAGAATGGGTGCAAACTGCACACTCACCCCAAGTAGATGTGAATGCTCTATGCAATATTTATTTCCTTCATTTGGTACTGCCCTGCAATATCGCCTTTTCTTCTCCAGATAAAAGCCGCATCTTCCTGGCTTGAATTCACCAGGCATTTGTTTTCTGTCAGCCATGACACGTGCTTTGTTGATATAGTGCAGGACAAAATGTTTTGCTGTATTGCGATTTGACCAAATATTAGAGAAACTATCACATCATATTGTAAAATACCCGATAAAAATTACGAAGCGTGTTTTATTTTATCAACATAGAACATATGTGTACTTTATGTATAAAATATCGGTAAATATTTACAAATGATAAAATTATTAATTCAGTGCGGGACAGGGACGAGCTGACAAAGTCGGAATATTGCCGCATTTCATTAGGGTCTCTGCACTTTTTTTATAATAACTACGGCTTCATTGACACTGAACAGAAACCAAAATGTTCATTACACTAAAAACATTGCAACAGCAGACTTTCAAGATTGAAATAGAGCCAAGTGATTTGGTAAGAATCGACAGTAAAGTGCTGTTTTTCGGGTATCTGTTGTAGAGTTAGTGATGAGTAGACGCTATTTTCATGTATATGATTCACTTACCAGGAAAGGTAAAAACGATAGTTGTTTTGGATAAGGTTAAACGTGTAAAGTGTTATTCGTATATTTACCTATACATATATGGATTTTCCCGCATAGTGTTATATTATTGAGAATTGAACTACCCTCCCAAATGAAAGAATTGAAAGCCACATTTCACACGTGTGACTAGTGCTTAGTTTGAAGATCATGGATATTGGCATTGGCATGACGCCATTATTCCAGTTTCTATACAGCATGGTGATTGTGATTTAAAAAACAGACATTCTGAGGCACTTGTCTAAATTCACTTCTTCGCATTCACACATGAAAATGAAAATCTTGATTCACCTTGCTAGATCTGGTAACTACTGGCACTTGCTAGGGGAGCCATGGTATGTCCTGTTGAACATGCACATTAAATACCAATCTCTTCAATCATCACAGTAATACTTCACTTTTAATGTTCATGATATTAGTTTTGCTGTATAAAAATACTTGTTTTTGAGAGACCAAAGCATTCTGTAGTTTTTGAGACCACATGGTTTGCTTTCTTTTTGATTGGATATACATATAGGAAACTATGCATGCGCTAAACATAGCAACATCCACTGCTTACATCAATTGCATTCCAACAAGAGATTTTCTACTGCAGTAAAAAGTATATGTCCATAGAATTTTTCTCGTAAGGTGTATTGGCATCACTGTTGTGTTCACACTACAGGCTTTACTTTGATAGAATTGAAATTTGGCACTAATCCATTATTTTACAGTTATAGGCAACTATCCTTCATATGCTAGCACAAATAGTACACATCTGAGACCATTAATAGGACTGCTAATGCATGAAACGTTATGTTAGAGTTGGTTAGTCTCTTTCAAAATTAAGGGGTTAAAATTATTTGAAAAAAACAACACTATCCTGAGTTTGCACACTATTTAAATACAAATTGTTAATGGTATAGAATATATAATAAAAAACATCAAGGCCCCTTTTACATTGAGTGATATACTTGTGCAAAATTATCTCTACTGATATCTATTAACACACTTTGATAGGACCTAACAGGTAATTACCCTACAGGGAGTTTTACTCATTAAGGCAGAAGTTGAGTTATTGGCTGTGTCATTCGGGGTGGGGAGAGGTGCAAGTTTTGCTTATATGTTTTTACATATCAGAAATTGAAATTTCAAGGGTACTTCCAAATGATTGCATTGAAAGTCAGTATTGTGTGGATCTCTGTTTTGCTGTTCACCAAGGAGTGATGGTGATGTAGGTGTTGTCAGCCTGCATGTTTTGTCTTGAGAAGGATAAGCTATATTATAAAAGTCTTGAGAAAGGATAAGCTATACTATAAAAGTAAACTGTCAATTTCCATCATCATTTTCACAAGTCTACAAAAAGTAGACTTTTTAAGACCCCCTCTCTCCCCCCCCCTCCCCCCCTTCGGAGAGTACAAGGTGAAAAGTTTAAAATGATGATCTTTGACAGCAATTTGGACAATTTGTATTATTTTTCAAAAGCGTACAAAGGCCATTAAATCCCTCCCCCTCAGTGCACAGTTTGTAGACTTGTAAAAATTATGGTAAAAATGGATGACCATTTATCACTTTGGTACATCAACAATTTTACAAATTACTATCGTTTTTTATTAAACAAACATGAAATATAACATTTTTTGCTGTGTATATTATTCATTTTTTAGGTGAAGGTGCTTAAAGCAAAAATAGAAGCAGAAAAAGGCAAGGATTTCCCAGCCGTTGGTCAGAAGCTAATATATGCAGGTATGAGTGAAGCAGTTTTCTCAAGTTAGATGCTAGGTCATGTTAAATGCACAGGTAGGATCAATCCTGTCAAAATTGCAAAAGCAAATGTGAGGAGTTATTGCTACACCTTTCCATGTTAGAAAAAAACATGCTCTATGTTATACGCATCAGGTTCTTGGCTTACTTCAGCATAGATGACTTTCAGCCAAATTATACAATAGAGACAGGATATTGGTAGTAATAGCAAAAAATAAATGAATAAATATAATGTAGTATAAATAGAAATTGGAATTTTGAAAAAGAGACATTTCATTTAACCAAAAGAATTGTTCCTTTTCAAATTTGCCATTGGAAAAGGGAGGGAGGGGGGGGGGGGCTTTTCATAAATGTTTACTTTATATTGCTCCAAAATGAGAAACCTTGGGACTGCACTATGATTATTAAGTTTAATTTCTTTTCTTTTTTTTTTCAGGTAAAATTCTAGATGATGAAAAGCCCGTTGGGGATTATAAAATTGAAGAAAAGAATTTTGTGGTGGTAATGGTTACCAAAGTAAGTGAAGTGATCTTCTTTATTATAATTTGTTTAAAGATCTATGGGATATACCAAATGCCAGAAGATATTGGCTTGTTAACATTTCCTGGGCTTGATATTTTGTTTCTCTACTTTGTTCATTGTGAAAAATTGATTAACTGTCTTTAAAGACTTTTCACATCAATAAACATTTAGGTCCTACACTTTCTCAGTTTTTCACAGAAGCTGTCATTTATGTCTAATTGTATTTTTCCGCCTTCTTATGTTTTCTCACAAACCTTCCAGTGAAAATACCTATTCAACATCTTTGTGATTATTCAGTTTCCTTATTAGGTCTGAATTGAACTTTGTAACATTCTGCGAGTCCCAGTCCATCTCTATGGTTAAAGAATACAGGCATTTACTCCTGAATTTAAAATTTGATGTAAAGTTTCCTCAGCTGCAGAAGTATAGGTCAAGGATGTTTCTTTCCTTTTTCCCAGTGAACAGCTAATATCTGGCCCAACCCTTGTCTGGGTATATATTTCTGTAGCTCTTCTCAGCTAGGTCTTACATTGGTTCCCCCACATTTATATATTTTGTAAAAGTGTTCCTGTACGGGCTGCAAATCTTTTCATTCTATTGAAAGCACAATTTTACACAACAAGCAATACAGTTTAATAGTAGCTGTTACTTTAAGAGATGAACACATACTTAAAAATTGCTATTTCAGCCTAAAGCACAGCCTGCCAAACCAGCAGAGAGTGCCCAGACAGCCAGTGCTGCCCCAGCCCCAGCACCTGCCAGTACACCAGCAACCGCCACACCAGAGAAAAAAGAAGAAAAGAAGGAAGAAGTAAAACCAATACAAGAAGAAACACCGCCCTCGAGGTAGTTATGTTTTTCAATAACAATATCAGCCTAGACTGTCTGATCCAACTGACAAATAACATATTGGTTATCAAGTGTTTGTATTTATTCAAATTACTGGAAACAGATCTGTTGATGTTTAAAAATGATTTAATACATGTAATAGTTGTGTATGTGTGCACTGAGATTTTAAAAGTGCAGGTTTATCAGAGTCCTATATTACAGTTGCATTTTAACCACAAAAAAAATAAAAATAAAATAAATAAATAAATAATAAAAAAAGAGTTTTTCCTTTTGTAATTTCAGTGATGTTTCAGCATCAGCTAGCTCAGAGAGTTCCTTTACACCTGCTTCTTCTGTGCCATCCTCCTCATCAATTGTCTCTGCTGAGAGTACACTAGTAACAGGGGAGGCATATGAACAGATGATACTGGAAATTATGAATATGGGTTTTGAGAGAGATCAAGTAGTAAGAGCCTTAAGGGCAAGCTTTAATAATCCAGATAGAGCAGTGGAATATCTTTTAACTGTAAGTACAAGCAGAACCTGATGCAACATCAGTTTTGTGTTATTTATTTAACATTTTAGCTATTTAAAACCCAAAGCTTACTTTTATGGATATAATTATATAATTGTATAATATATGAAAAAAGTATATAATTGGAACGTTCACTTTTGGAAAAGTTGTACATTGCACATATTTTGCCAAAACATGCCCCATTGTACCAAAGCATTGATCTCTGAAAATATTATAATGTAAGAATTGGAAAAAAATCAACAAAGAAATAAGTAATTGGTCCAACATGTTATAAATTGTGTTTATATCATGTGTCCTGCTCAGGGTATTCCTCAAATACATAGCCAAGAAACTCAAGCTCAACCAGCACAACAGCCAGTACAAGCACCTGCACAGCCAGTTGGTACTCCAGCAGCTGGCACACCTGCCTCTGAGACAGGGACACCTGCTGGTGGAGTTCCAGCAGCCACTGGTACACCAACCACTGGTACACCAACTACTGGCGCACCAACTACTGGCACAGGAGCACCAACTGGCACTGGAAGTGAGTATTAGTTTTTGTAGGTGAAGAGGAATAGACATTTTGTTGAATTACTGGTTTTTGTGCCCTCCACTTATCCACATTCTTTGATGAAAAATCAGTTAATGTCTTTTGTTTTGACTTTTTTGGGCTTAAGGGTGCTTTTATAAAATAGATGTGGCATGTTTTAAGTTTTAACTAAATATGTAATTGTTATTTTAGGTGCTGAAGACCTTTCCTTTTTGAGAAATCAACCTCAGTTTACACAAATGAGAAACCTTGTTCAGCAAAACCCTCAGCTTCTGCATGTGTTGCTTGAACAGATTGGTAGGACAAACCCCCAGCTGCTCCAGGTAACGATTTGCACAAGTTCACCCTAAAAATAGTTAATGATAAACAATTTTTTGGAGAAATTAAGAATTTATCTAAAGATAAAAAAAATCTGTTGCTTTAAATGTTTTTTTTTTTTTTGTTTTTTTTTTTTTTTTTTTTTAAATTGAATGATTTCTTATTTACACCTCTTGGTCTTTGTAGGTAATCAGCCAAAATCAAGCACAGTTTGTTCAGATGTTGAATGAGCCAGTGGAGGCAGGTGGGAGTCCGGTGATGCCAGGGGTTCAGGGAGCAGGGGGGCAAGGGCAAGGACCTGCTCCAGGTGTGGTGCAAGTTACTCCACAGGAAAAAGAAGCTATTGAAAGGGTGAGATATGTCTGCTTTGCTTTTTAAAATACTGAAGTATAATGCATAGGTTCTTGTATTGCCATAGAAACATTATTTAATATGGATGAGCATACAGAATTGCTTCAAAGATGTATAACTTCTTTTTTCTCTTTCTCTTCCCTCAGCTCAAAGCATTGGGTTTCCCAGAGGGTATGTGCATTCAAGCCTATTTTGCCTGTGAGAAAAATGAAGACTTGGCAGCCAACTTTTTACTATCACAGGATTTTGAGGATGATGATCAAGCAAGCTGATGGAATTCAACGCTTGTTGTACGAATAAATGACTTTAAAGTTACATGACAGTGAATACCAAATATAATAAGTAACTGTGAAAAGGGATTGACTCTATGGACCCCTTACATGTTCACTGTGACAGTGCATGGTTAAGTCCCATGATCATAAATGTTTACATTTTTAGATTACACTCAAATCTTCCTGTGCTCTTTAATGCAACAAAACTACAGAGTAGACATGAACGTGACTAGATGGTGTAATAAAAGATACATAGGAATCTAATTTTTCAACAAAGTTGATATTTAGACTGTTAATATCCAGTTATTAGGATTTATAAATGGTCTAAGACATTTAACATTTTCAACAGGTTTTCTAATTTTCTTGTTGAAATTTCCATTAATTAGAAATTTTGCGTAACAGTCTTTCAATGCATTCTTTGTGCTCCAACACATTCTGTTATAAGCATTGATCTTGGTTTTAAGTTGTAACCAACTTGATGGCCTTTAGCTTCTAAGATTTTATTTCACTGTCTCTGGTATAAAGGTAACACACTACTAACTTGTGCTTAAGATGTTTAAGACCATTTGTATATATTGATGAGGGTCTTTAAGCTGCCAGGGGACTTTTGAAATGCTAAATATTGGCAGTTGTTGAGCTATGTTGAATCTGAAAACATTTCAATAAAACTTTCATCGTTACACATATCATAAAGTTGTCTAAAGTCCTTGGTCATTGCATAATTACAATTTCTAGTGCAAAAACACCTTTTACCTGATAACTTCTGTTGTCAAATAATGTAAGCATGAGGAATATGTACAACTAGGGCATTCTGATATTCTCTTCCTGTGCAGGTTAAGACAAGATCACTACACAAGTCTCTTGACATTTATTTAGTGTTCAAGGCAGAACCTGACTAAAAGCCCTACTAGTAGGTGAAATTTTCTTTCACTCAAACTCATTTTTTAAAACATTCCATGCAATATTCACCATGCAATACATTTGCATAGAATAAAACTACTCTATCTTTGAAAAAGTGAAAAAAAATCAGTTTGTATAACAAAACGGAACTGTTTGAACAGTGGTTTGTTTTCCCACACTGACTATAATGTTTACAGAGTGGTCAGTCTAGTTTCCTGGTCCTGGTTTGGTTGGTCATTGCTGTATGACCCCTGGATAGCTTGAATTACTTGGAAAGTGACATCATTCTCCTGTAGGTCATCAGTCAGTGCCAGTGAAGATGCAGGGACCATGGCATAAATCAGAGACTCTCCTGGAACAGAGTTTGGAAGATTGTTGACGGGCAAGCTATTAGTGGGATACGTGAAAGTAGAGTTTTCAGCCTGGGATGTCATACTTGGGGCCAAAAATGTTATCTGGCTTGAGGCACTGCTAGTCTGATGTAGTACCTGTGGTATGCCAGCATTCATAGGCTTGTGAGCCATCTTGACATGTTGGTTAAGTTTAAAATTCTCGTGGAACCCAGCACCACACTGGTTGCAAATAAAGTTGTATGCTGTGCTATGGTTCTGTAAGTGTCTGTTTAATTCATATTTCAATCCAAATGCCTTGCCACAGTGGACACACTTATGGGGACGTTCTGTTGTGTGAACATGGACTACATGAGCCTTCAACTGGCATGCTCGTAGGAAAAGCTTTCCACAGTGCTGACAAGCATGTTTCTTCACTCCTGAATGTACTTGCATATGGAGAGCTAAAGCATAGCAGTTGGTCAAGGTCTTCCCACACTGTTCACAAATGACACTTTTCTAAAAAATAAAGCAAAACAAATAACATGTACGATAGATGGAACCGTCCAAACACTTTTTAAATAGCATATCAATCAGTCCATTGACAAAGAATGTTTTTACTATTGGTATCATAATTTTGTTGTGCACCTTTTTCTCAGTAACTCAATGGACAGCACCAACATACATAATAAAGTACAAAAAGCATAATATACCTTTTCTTTTGCACAATGATGCCTCTTCATATCAAACTCATTGAGAAAAGGTTTGTAGCAAAGTTGACATCGATACTGGCTGTTGCAATATCTTGCATGGAACTCAAATCTTCCCTTTCTTTTACCCCTAAACTGTTTGCAGTATAAACAATTTCGCCATTCTTCTTCTTCTTGTGCACTGGCTGGCTTCTTCTTTAAGCCAAGGTTGACTGACACTTCACTATTTTCAGTTAGTTTTCTCTTTTTAATTTGCTCTTGGATTGACTTGAAGGATTTACTGACCTTGGTATCAAAATCTGAACTTTCAGTAGAAATGGTCCCATTTATCAAAAGTGTCTGTCCTTCCTGCTCTGCAACCTTTGTTGTAATTTCAGCAAACTTTTCAAGAACTGACTGATCATTTTCTCTGAAAAGTTCCCCATCCATTGCTACCTTGCTTTCCTTTTCCTCTACCTTAATTTTGGGCTTTCTTCCTCTTTTCTCTATTTTTTGTTGCGGTCTATGAACAGCCAACATTTTCAAAATCTTGTCAAAAGTTTGTTCAACCTCCACTGGATCTGGTGTTGGGTTGGTTTCTTTTCCTAAGTCAGATGTTATACCAAAAGCCACATTCAGAGCCTCTGTCACAGGATCAACAGGCTGAGAAGGAGCCAAATCTGCACCACTCTCTACAACAATACTGTCATCTAGATCAGAATCACTATCATCTTGCACTTTCCTCTTTTTAATTTTTCTTCTTGGTTTCGCTATTTGTTCCTCTTCAGGGTATTTTTTCACTTTTCGTTTTACAATGCGTAGTGATTTTCTTATACCCTTTGTGTTCGTTTCATCATCAAAACACTGCTTTGCTGCAGACCCAGTTGGTATGTATTCAACACTATCATCTTCAATCATTCCAACATCAACTGGAGATTCTTCCCCCTCATCATCAGTTTGTAATTCATCCCCATCATCATCATCATTATCATCAGTTGGTACATTTGTAGCAATTGTATCAGTTTTAATTTCCTTTTCTTCTTTTTCAGGCTCTGCAGACTCATTTGTCAATTGATTAGAAGAGGGTTTCTTTAATTTACGTTGACTTTTTTGTTTGTTAGTTTTGCGTCGACTTTTTGGTTTGAAAAATTGAACTCCACGGAGGTATTCATCACAAAGCTGAACAGCAGTCTGTAAATCCAAAAGAGTAGCTAAATGTCTCAGCTTTTTTACATCCTCCTCATTGTCTATGTTTTTGGGCAGCTGAAACCTGCCAGTGTATATGACCTCAATGAAGAGCTGCAATGCTTCTGTGCTATAGTCATTGAGGACTAAGATTGACCCTGCTCTCTGCTGGTTTAGTAGATCACGGAAATATCCACAACTGGCTGCTAAGACACAGCGATGAGCTGGGAATGTCACACCTAGATCACTAACCAGAGACACATCACAGTGGACTTTGGACAGGCGCTGCTTATTCAATTCTGCTAGGATTGATTCAAAATGTGAGGACTTGGTCTGGATTGGAAGCATCCTGTACCTGCAAAAATAAAAAAAAAAATTAAAAAAAACATATGGACTTGTGTAGGATTTGGACATAGCTTTGAGAAAAAATGACTCCTAATATGACAGTATTATTAAAGCAAAATAACATTACATGATTCTGAAAAATTTCAGAAAAAAAAGGCAAATTTGGCTAATGTAGTTGGACAGCTACTACGCACAGAAACTATACTACAGAAACTATTTAAGAACAATTATGGTGACTTGAAATCAACCTGTCTGTTCACCAAACAAAGCCAACTAGCTTATATTTGCATTCGCAAAATAAAGTAAAACAAAAATATGGTTTAACCCTTATGGAGTAAACACTGAAAAATACATCAAATAAATAAATAAATAAATAAATAAATAAATAATAAAAAAAATAAATAAATAAATTGCAATACCAAAAACTTGTGTAAAAATAATTCTGCTGTGGGCAATTTTTAATCTCTGCCATCAATTTTATCAAACCACAAAATCCAGATAATAAGAATCTTTTAATTGTACCCAATATATATATATATTGGATATAATTAAAAAAATTCTTATTGCAGACATTTTAGTCCATTTTAATTTCAAATAGAAGTTAATTTTCACATAAAAATCAGCACTCGTCGCTTTTGCACACTGTCATTATAATCATATGTCCCGTTAAGGGATTTCTATCAATCTCAATTTTTAAAAGTAATAACGTCAGACCTGCGTAAACTCATTAACCATTGACAGATTCTCGTTCATAGCTTATTAATCCATGAACCGAAAAAGATCTGTTCGGATCGGCGCGTGAAATTGAATTCTAAAAGGAATCATCAAATGTTTAATTCCTACTTTTATCTTAATTCAATTACAATACAGACAACAAACACACACACACACCATGTTTTACTGGTACTCACTGGATAGCTGCTTCCGCCTGCGAACAATAAGAGATAGTAGTTCAACTTAACTGGCACCTTGCTCAAAATGAACGTCGACGACGTGCGGCCATATTGATACGTAAGCTCATCTAAAGTAAAGAATGTAAAAAATGAACGGCACGATACGACATGAAAAATAAAAAATAAAGAGAATGTGATTTATATAGCTAAAATACTAATGTGTGTTCAAAATAAAGTAGATTGTTTGATAAGAATTAAAACACGTTCCCAAAAATATTTTGCTGAAAACTGTTTACGAGGGGAAACTCCCGTATCTCTTTGACTAGGCCTACGGCTGTTCAAAACGAAACCGTAATTCTCAATGAATTACTCAAGATCAGGACTAGTGTCACTGGTTTATCGACTTTATATTATGATATATTATAATGTAATTGTAAGTTTCAATGAATCGGTTTCTCTTGTGCTAATGGCACTCGCTAATTTGTGTAACTAAATATGGTTTAAATAGATTAAATATAGGCCTAATAGGGATCGGCAGCTAGATCTATGCATGTCGGATATAGATTTATAGACTTTTCACCCGCCCACAGGGGTCTCTGACTGTATATAGTCTGTTACAAAATATTTTATTTATTTGACATAATTCAGTCGGCTGACTGATTACGTACATGCTGATCGTATATGTGCTTTATTGGGCCTAGGCCCTATAGTTAGCCAAAAGACAGCTGCATGTATAGACGAACGTCCTTTACTGTGGGTGTGGCCAGATCAACATCGATTGCAGCCTATGTAGAGGCTGTTATATAGAAGGGAAAACTATCATTTTCAAACATTAATCGTTGTTTTCATAGAGCATTGAATGTGATCATGATATGTGCGATGTAGTTTGGTGCCATATATGCAACTGATTTTGTTGAGCTATACGTTCCACCTTGTTTAAAGCGTAGCGAGACCATGTTCAGATCGTAGCTGGAACCCATTGGTCTACCAATTTGGAGATTGCATCTTTCACGTTTAAAAAGAATGCTTTTTTTCTTGAGAACAGTTTCTTTTAAAATTGGAATTTAGTCTGTTGCTGTTTTTCTTTTACAAGACTGAAAATATGTAAGTAGCTGCACCAGCGGGATAAAATTCTATAGAGGGAAAAAAGATAAAAGTAAGTTATGTAAAAAGAGAAAAAAAATCCAACCAATGCAGGCACCTTGATCCGTGCTAGAATGGTCGAGCATTAAAAAATTATATAAAGACTTTCAAAAGAAGTTCAAGGGCTTTAAAGTATACGAATATAGGCCTATATATAGCCGTAGGGTCAAACATGCCCCCTCGACAGGCCTGCCATGTGCTCAAATATACACCAAAAACAGCTATAGGCTACCCCGATTAATTGTCAACGCACATAGTCTTGTATGCACTTAAACAATATATTCAAAGAGACAATTCAGCTCCATTATTTCGTACCATCTTCTAGATATGCAGCGTTTTTAACTCTGAACTACAGCTAATCAAAGCACCGTTCTTCCCTACATATCCTCTACCAGGACCGCAGTTTTGAATTAATTTTTCATATCTCTAAGTCCAGGTATTTAGGCAATAGTACACCATTGTATTGCACCGGGGTATTATTTTCATTTGAATTTTGGAACAATGTTTGTGTGTGCAAAGTGTCAGTGTAGCTATGGAAATATAACGCACCATAGGCCTATATTCCATGGTGTAGCCTACTGGTAGGCTAAAATGTTTTTAAAATGATAGTGCTCCTTAGTTTGGCATGGTTTTTGGATATATTTCCATGACAATGTTTTTAACGATTGCTGGATTTTTTAACATAACCGTACAAACCAGTGACTAATTGCAACACGAGGTCGTGCACGTGCACTGTATTTCTATAGTCTCTTTCCGCATTTCGGTATTTAATCTATTCTTGTTATGGTCATTGGTTCCAGAATTTTGCGCTAGGAAAACTCGTCATCTTACATATGCAAGGTTTTGTTATATTATCAATGTGGTGGCATTTTTTTCTCGGTCACCTTTTTCCCCCTGTCATGAGAGAAACTATTTTTTTACCCTAAGTATAGCTTGCCATTTGGTGATTGTCACGTGACTTACACACACGTTCGTTTGCCTAGAACTGGCCTAGACAAGACGAGCACACAATTGTCTTATAACAAGAAATAGCATCATTTTGCTAAATTTAGCGTCAGTGCATGCAAACTTTCCTTGGCGTATCAATTCAACCAGGTGATTGGGTTTTTCAGACTCTGACTTTTTTCGTGAAAATTTGCTTGTTTGAACGCAACAACGAAAGTAGGTCACACTGTCAGCTGTTTTCAAACAATACCTGTAGGGGGTAGCAAGGGCTTTTTTGTTGACAGTTGGTGTTGAACTCTCAGGAGGTGAGTATAATGTAATTTTTCTTAATATAAAATTAACTAATCCTTGTTAATTCAGACTTAAGTTCTAATGCCACGAAAAATTTTAAAACTCAACAACTGAACGACATTTAAAAGGAAAAGTGCATTGTTTTGGTTTTTCATGGTGTACATGCAACGGTGTAGGCCTAACTTCGTAATTTGTTTTAAAAGGATTTACATGGCTTCTCCTACTGAGTCATGTTGTACCTGGGAAAGGAATGTATACATTCTTAATTTCATTTAATTAAGTAACTGCAAACGTGTACTATTTTAACTTTGGCTGGAAGAAAGGGCGATGATATATTATAACATCTTAATCAAAAGTGCCAGGGGGAACAAACCACATTCAGTGCTGCTGCTAGAAAAAAAATGTTTGCACATTTCTGTCAGTCTAAAACATATTATTTATGGCTGCATGTGTATAACAGTCTTGCCATCCTTGCATGCTACAGTAGTACATGTACTAGCTGTAGTCCTTCAAAAATGTGTTCCCCTGTTCGTTAAGAGTTGGGTTGGGGAGACAAAGAGGCAGAATATTTCAGTACTTCATTTAGTAAAAATATGGTACATGTACTAACTAGAATACCTTACATGTTATTACTTTGTGTAAGTTGTAATCCTCCTTAGCACTAGGCAGGCTAGGTCTGCTAGCTACTGTAAGTAAGCCTGCTGCATGATTATAGATGGGTTAGACTGGGGTTAAGAAGAAACCTGATAAAATACATGTGTTGAATGTTTGAAAAAAATTATTTTGTGATTTAATTGAGTTAGTATTTTTGTGCGTTAGGTCAGTATATATCATGTACTGGAAGGTAAAAAGTGGAAGGGATGTTTTCCAGTATTGAAATACTTTTGGCAAATTTGGTATTTTACAGATATATTGTGAATGGTCTTAAAAAAGGATAATTTTTACCACCAGCGTATACGCTGGCGGTACTCATGGTTTTAGTCCCGACCCGTCTCGTACAGCTCCGCCGGCTCCTGCGGCTCCGCTGGCTCCGTAGTCGGGCGCCGGAAACAAGTCACCGTTACCGCTTCTCCTCCTAGACTGCCAAGACCTGTCTTGGATTTAGGTCACATATAATCTCAACTTGTACACCCTGTTTTTTTTGTCTCTGTCGGTGCATTGGCCTGGGCAGGANACCAATGTAAACGGCATATGAAGAAAATAATACTGAATAATATTTTGTGCTAATATGCAGTGTATTTGTTTATTGTTTCAAGCTTACTAGCTCCTAACTTGGAGCTCCTAACAATGGAATATTAATTGATTGTAAAATCTTAGCATTGCTTGCAGACAAATATTCTTTCTTCATGTATGGCTACCATCGTCCATCATCAATGCCAAGTTCATGTTGGAATATATAAGTAATGTTAAGTACTGGTAGCCACAAAGTTTTTTTATACTCAAAAATTCTGCAAAGGGGAAATTTAAATAACCGATCCATGCAAGTTGAAAAATGATAGATTTTTCCTTTATACTTATAATGAATACTAACAAACTGTTAGTTGTTAGTTTAGATTTAAATTAATTTTTTTACCTATAGATATGATATACTATTTATGCACACACAGATACACACACACACACATTTATTTAATTATGCTTATAATTTATGTCGAGCAATATCCATTTCTTGAGTTGATTTAAGATTAACCCCAAAAAGGTTCAAGCAAAGGCTATTTTGAAATTGGATCTTTAAACCAAGCTGAGTGACCTTTTTGCCTTGATTGTTTGGTCATACTTTTGTTTTGTTTTTTTCTACTCTGTTGAAATAGGGAGGTCTATTGGGGCATTGCCTAAGAAAGTTTACTGGAGGACAAAGCAGTGTCCTTATTTAACCTCCTTAGAATTTTAGTGCTGAATACTTGTGGGAAGAAATTACACAGAGGTGCATATTTTTCGTAGTTTATTATCCATTTTATACATCTGAAGTCAGTAGAATTAAGCTATTCTATCTAGTTACAACAAAGTTTAATTCAGTAGAACAGGGCTCTGTGAAAAAGAGAAATGTTATTATTACACCGAGTAGTGAAGTTTATATGCTGTGTGATGAGTTGTCAGTAGACAAAAGGGATTATATATAATGTCATAAATTCATTGTACACTGGTAACAGGTTTTCATTTGCGGTCACATTCTGTGGTTTGAGGTGTCCTTGTTGCTGACAGGTTTTTAGGCCAGCTACAATTCACACTGAAAAAGACTGTTCATGTGATATTTGATAGTGCTTGTGAAGTAGGGAATAATTTATCACATGATGTAATCTGAACAATTCAGCATGTGGATTTTGAAAAAAGTGAATTGAGAATACTTCTTTATAAAATTACAAATTGCATTCAGCAGCTTGGGTTTCAAATTGTAACCTTTTCTTAACAGACTAAGATAATTTTGATGATAATGTTTTCAATTATAACCCATTCTATGGATTTTTTATTATCCATTTAATTTTTGGATGAAGAGAGAGAAGTGATTGGAGGCAGGTGACCAATCAAAATTTTGAGAGAAAGAGAGAGAGTGAGCTCTGCCAGCCATTGTGTATTTCTGATTGCTTGCATCAGCTAAAATTCACATTTGACATTTCATCATACTTTAAGCAATGCATGTATTTTTGGTTTTGTTTTGTTTGGGTGGAGACAGGCATTTTAGTAGGTGTTTTAATTTTTGATTACACTATTTCACTATCACAGTTTTAATTTTATTTCTTACTTACAAGTAAGCAAAGATTGTCTTTTTAAGTAAAATTGGACCAAGCGATTGGGTATGTAGAATGAAACCGTAGTAAGTTAATGAGTCATGGGTTTTTTTGATAATTCATTGATTTCATAGAATATTGACCTAACTGTTGGACAAAGAACATTTATTATTAAGGGCATTAAGTATTAGATAACTTCCGTCCACAAGTGGCAGTGCATTGGATAATTCATTGTTGTTGCCATTTTATGGATCCATTAGGGTTTTTGTCAGTAAATTAATCATATAAGCGGGGAAATAATGTTAACAGCAATTGAGCAACCTCATGTGTTTGAAGAACTTACACTCATACATATATTTTTAGACAAAGCTAAGGCTACTTGTGTCCTTTATTTCCTAATAAACCAGGACCAGAGCTATTCAGGTACTCTCTGTTACATGTACCTTCTAATGATGCTCAGAGAATTGATTTTGCTGTAGAGTTGAGCCAATGATTTGTATTCTAACACGCCAAGAGCCTGAAGGGTTGCTGTACAAATATAGAAACACATCCTGGAGATGCCGTTCTGACAGCAAAGTTGGCATCCAACTCGCATCATCATGATTACAAATAGAATGGTATTCTGAAGATACACAATAGATGTTGCTTCTACTAATCTGTTATTAATTTTCATTGCCAACTTCTTCATGTAGGTGACCTTTCTTTTAGACATAATTAATACTGGGTATGGAAGTAGATGCTGTTGATTGTTATGCAATGGGGAATGGTGATTAAAATGGCGGGGATATTGTTTACAGAAAATTTTGACATTTTTTATTACCATTGCAGACATAGATTTTATATACTGATTTTATAAATCAATATATTTATATGTGACATTAATGGCTTGCCCATGGGGAAGATTAACCAAAATGAACATAAGATACAGCTGGAGGACAAATAAAAACTACTTAATAATGTATTAAAAAAGGTGAATTCAGTGCATAATGTATTAAAAAAGGTGAATTCAGTGCAAAATCTTTATGACATCATAGAGAAAAAGGGAAACTCAATACTATTAATAGTTTTTTTATATAACAGAAAAGTCCTATGTTATCATTCTTCAATGGGGACATAACCTCAGTGTCAAGAGTCAGTTAAGTTTCTTAAAGGACAGGACAGGCATTTAAAAGATAGAACCGTCTTCTGTGTATTGTATTGTAGGATGTTATGCTTTAAGGGAAAGAGGCATGCAGCTGTAGCATTGGCCCCGTTTCCAAGTATTTGAGTCTTGAATATACAGAGTATATGTGTAAGTATTATATCACCTTTGAGGTTAACGTCTTATTCAGATAAGATTGAGGAGAGGTAAGGTTCAATTGCTATAGATTTACTTGAATAAAGCTGTTATCAGGAATGCTGTCTGGCTGTGAGTGTGATTTGGCTAATATTGGGATTTCCCCAGGTGTTAATCAGACACAGCAAGGTGCAGGCAGACAGCTAACAGGTTCCATTGTTTTCTTTTAGGAAAAAGGATCTGTTCATAGAAATTGTACAGCAAAGAGGAATGGGGGATCCACCAGAAGAGGGACCTACGCCTTTCTTGCCTCTCGTTGGAATACATATCAATCCTATGGAGGGGCAGAGTTTTTCATCCCAGTCGGAGGAATCACCAAAGAAACACCTTTTGCCTTTGCCAGATGCACCTTACTCTGAGGCTAGTTCGGCCAACTCTTTGAACCCAATCTGTCGGATATGCCATATGCCAGACACAGCCCAGGATGCACTGATCTCACCGTGCAGGTGCTCAGGAACCCTTCAGTTTATACATGTCACATGTTTAAAGGTGAGTAGATGTCACCCATGTGCTACAATTAAGTTTGCTTCCAGCCAAATGAAAATTTTGAGACAAATAGACAATGATCGAGTTATTGCAAGTGACCTCATTTCAATGATTCATTTATTTATTTAGTTTCATTTTCTGATTCATAACACGTTATGTAAGACTCAGTAAAAGTTTTTTGAAATGAAAGTGTAAGTTTGTTTAGCATTGCACACAGCTGTGACTTGGCTTTAGATATATATTTTGGAAAGGTCTTGGAGGACTGTTTTTATATGAAGAATTCAAGGCCAAAAAAAAAAAGAAGAAATATGTGCTCTGGGACTATCCTTATTTCTGGTAAGGGGTGGTTAGGTACATTATTGACATTGAAAATGGACTGGTACATATCTATATGTAACTTTGGCAAAATATAGCCCCCTATGCACAGGGTTATTTCAAGCCAAATGCCAAGGCCAATATTGAGTTAACAAGTCAAACACTGAAGGAAAGATGCATTTATCCCAAAATTTCTATTAAAATTAATAGGATTATAATTTTCCTCCTGAATACACCAATGGTAAACTTGCGAATAGTGAATATCATAACTATACATCTTAACTATGATGTTTTTAGCAGAGTAAATCATTATGGGAAAATTTGTCTTAAAATGTGGGGATTGTTTCATGGAAATGGGCCATACTATGGGAAATAACAATTATTGATTTTTTTAAGGTGAAAAGCAATTGATAGTTTTGTGTCTAAGTATGATAATTATAGTATAGGTGCACACAGCCACAGTTTGCATTGTGAAGCAGCATCATGTTGCAGCTAGCAAACCAGTATTGATTAGCATGTGAAGTCAGCTGCCCTGTGGCTCTGCAGCTGAGGACTTGATATTTACCTTAATTTTGGGTTGTGTACCCTCATGGGTTCAAATCCACTCCTGTTTTAAGTTGAGTCAATAGACTACTGCATATCTTGGCTGTATACCAAGTATGTTGGTATATATGACTGATATATAACACGTTCATGTTTCAGCTTATCAATATATTTCTGTTGCTTGGCTCTTCTCATCAAAGGCATACAACTCCCAAGATAACATATACAAGCATTCATTTTGCTGTTTCATTAAAAGAAGTTAACCTTCGCAAATGTTAAATTAGTAGTTGTGTTCTCCGTGAAAATGTAAGGAGTGAAGCGTCAATTACTGTAACACTGAAAAGTACTTTGCTGCTATGGCTGGTACATTACAAATTTACAAATTAAAAAAAAAAAAAACTATCCCATTGACTGAAGATCAAGACACCTTTATTTTGGATAGATAATAAACCTGTACTTTCTGAAAATTTACAATTGGGACTTATTCAGATGTAATTTACACAAATTTTTGTAAGAAAAAATTAATTGCAGAAAATATATATATATATATTTCAGAGATGGTTGGAAGTTTGCTCACGCAAGACTAGGAAGCCACCCAAGTGTGAGCTGTGTCATTACCAGTTTCATCGGCACAAGAAGTTCAAAGTAAGTATTATGAAGGGTAAACTGAGGGTACAAGTTAAGCATATATATATATTTTAATTAGAGTTATATGTCTATGTATGTCAATTTAACTTGTAATATTGACTGTGCCCAAATTATTGAACTTCCTTAAGGAGTGTTTTGTTCACCAAACTACAGGATACAACTCCAGTGCTAAATTGGTGTTTGGTATCTAGTGTAGTATTCTATATTTAACAGAACAGTCAGTTATGAGTGGAGTAGTTTACTACTATAGGCGTATATACACAGTCTGTGTGTACCTCAAATGAACTATCAACATGACAAGAAGCATGTACAGTGTAGAAAAAAGTTCTGCATGTAGAAAATTCTGTATGTGGGTTAGATTACAGGTTACAGGTTATCCTTGAATTTGGTGCCAAAGTTTATTTGTGCACTGAATTTTATTTTCACTTTAGGACAACTCTGTCAGTTTAAACACAATTTATTTACTAATAGGGTTTAAGTTTCACTTTTGACAGGTCTGCGGGACTTAGGGGGAATTTAATGAATCAGCAAGGGTGGATCTCAGTATGCATGATATTCCTTGAAGAAAAATCAGTCTTCCTATTTTTAGCCCACTTAAATATATTTGTAACCATTTGAAGTTCATGCTTGAGAAGATAGCATGATATGCATTTTTATATATGATGCTTGTTGTTAAGAATTTGTTATATATGTGTACTGAATTCACAGTAATGGAAAAAATAGTAAAAAAATATTTGATAATGGTGCTTTTTGCACACTTAGATTTTTCTTGATTGTTGAAAAACATTTTTTGCTAAATGTTTTGATAAAAAGTTGTAACAGTTAATACCAGGGAGTATGTTAATGTCAAATTTAATCAAATAGATTGATCATAGTTATTTCAATATTATTATTTTCAGATGATCTGAATATGAACTTGTCTTTCTTCCAGTGTAACCACTTCAGACTCCCGAGGGTAAATGGACGAGACAAAATCCTCCACAGCGTCTTTCTCATCAATGTCATTGTCATGCTGTCCTGTGCAGTCATTACTGTTATGTGTTTTCTGTCAGACAAGGGCCAGATCAGCAAATTCCCTCGCAACAAAGTTGACTTGACAACAGAGGAGATAGTTACCCTGATTTGTGGGGTTTTATTTTTCGTTTCCTTCTTCATTGCCATGTCAGTTCAAATCAAAGCAAAACACACAGTCTACCAGCTGATCGTAAAGTTTATAATGCAGAATATGCAGTGGGAGATTGAGGAGTACGACAAGGGCAAGGATTGTGAAGATGTTCAAGGCCATCCTGTGCTGGTGTGACCTTTTGGGAAACTATACAAATACACTATCTGTATGGAAGTATTACACCTTATCTCAATGATGGATTGACATACTTTATTATGTACAGACACAGATGTGTCTGTACATATTGCCATCACCTGCGTCTGTCGTCGCCGTCGTCGCCGATGCCGATGCCGATGCCGATGGCGATGCCGTCGCCGTGCACTTTCATTGTAAACACGATAAGTGGAAGGCAGTTTTAGTTTTTGGCTTTATATTTACAGAGCTGATAAATANCCTTGTCTTAAATTGCTACTTATATATAGGGGGTGGAAACATCATCCTGAATTTCAAAATTTAATTTGAAATTCTCAGTATTTCTACAGACACTAGATCATATTGGGAAATATTAAGATCTGCCAATTTGTATGGGCAAGCTCTCCTGAACAAACTCGATCAGGGCTATAAAGGCTTGTCTCAGGTTTTAGTAGGGTAAGAGGTAGATCAAGTATATAGCTGACAGTAGCTTGAGTTTGTTAAACCTTGATTGCTTATATATCTGCACAGTTATCAGTTTTCTTTAAATGCTGTCAAAGCAGTTGAAGTCCACATTTATCAAGGACAGTGGAAGTGCACATTGCATGTAAGACTTTGTATAAGTATAGAAGTTATATATATGTAGGTGCACCTTGGTGACAAAATAATCTGTTCGTCCCTGATATCTTAGTGCTCCCATATGTAGTTAGTTTGTTGTGCTTGAAGCCAACATCAAGCTTTTGTCACAGGTAGTCACAATGATGAGTCAAGTCTGTTTTTATATCATGCTTATACAACAATGTATGAAGTAACATGGGTTAAAGGTATACTATAGGCATTTGGAAATGTCCCAAAGTCACAATTTTATGTCTAAATATCCTGCAGAGATACTAATCTTCCCGCAATTCAGGCCATAGAAATGATAAAATCCCTCAAATAAAAGTTTGATGTTAATTTATCCTTGTTGAGAAGACATAGCTGTCTTAATTAAGCCAGATTTATTCAAAAGTAACTTATTTAATATGAAATGGCACAACACTTTGAATCGGTGTGCAGGGATGGGCAAGCAATGATTCCTGAATAAAATGAGATTTGGCATGAAAACCCTATATAGAATACCTTGAACTTGTTTACAGGAGGTGGTCACCTTGTCCCGCCGAGCAATGTTAGAGGTTTTTTTTTTTTTTAGTTGAAAGTAATGGCCATTCATTGAAATTTTGTCAATTTTGATATACGTAAAGCTCTGTTTTGCTGATATTCATGTTGTTTTAGCATATCAAGATGTGTTAATTTTAAAGTGAGCACATTTAACAGATGTACAACCATGATATTTAGAATACCCACACCTGACTGATTAAGAAAAACATTGCCTGTAATAAGCACAAGGAGTTTTATATCCTGTTTTGTGAGTGATAAGATAAACTTTATAGGTTTCAAGACTGACAGTGATTGCTACAAGAGGTTTGCACTTAATTGAGGCATATTTTGAAATGGGATATTTTCAAGGTCAAGTGACATAAGTTCTATTTTTTCTGGAATGTAATACTTCAAAACAAAATAAGAGCATGGTATCAAAAGAAGCGAAAATCATGATATTATTTTTTTATGCTTTTGTTATGAGACCATTGAATCTTGTAATGATATTGTCACAAGATGTCTTTGTTGAATTTTAATTTCATTGTAACATGAGCTTGCTTCATTATATTATTGCTTTAAGGAAAGACCAGCATCACTGTATATAGATTTAATGGTAAATGTACCATTTTGTTGTTATTACAGATTTACTCCTTGCCTCATAAAAAAAATTAAATATTCTTGACAGCTTATAAAAATTAGTGATGTTATACAGTGAAGAAGGAAACTACATGTTCAAAAATGCATAATAACATGTTGCATGGTGTTTTAATATGATTTTAAAGAAAACTATCAGTAGGTTATTACAGCTTGTTTTATTCCCTACATATATTCCAGGATATGTAGGATTATGATTATAATGACAAAATGCAATTAAAATATTTTGCACACATCAGAAAGTGTAGGTGTTTCTAAGTAAAATCTAGTGCCCATGCCGTACCCATTTTGTTTATTATATACAGGTGTATTTTTCCTGTCTAAAAGCTTGCCAAAGGAAATGATACTCTTAAAAAGCCTTATGCTGTGTAATTCTTCTTTATTGCTTCGCCTGAAGGGTTCCATAAAATGGACAGAAAGGATGGCTAAATTATTTGATTTTCTTAAACCATAGTGGTGCTACTATACAGATAGATCTGTGAGAATAACAGTTTTGCTAAATATGATTCTGTTTGCTTTGATATGATGTAAATAGCTGAAACAGTCATGATAAACAACTTCTGTTCCAAAAAATAAAAAAATGTAATTCAGTTGATTTAGTATAAGAATGAATCACAAGGACCAACAGCTAGTTTTGGTACTTTCTTCTGTAGGAAGTATTTATGACCTCTGAGTGGTTGCATTATTAGGATTAACTGAAACTTGATTGTAATTTGTAAGAGTTACTGCAAATGATGGTGTATTATTTGCGGCTCAGATACCCCGATTTTTTCAAAGGTGGGTTTGTAGTTAGACCGTGAATACTGTGAAGGTTACCAAACTGTAAATAACTGTAACATTTTTTTTTCATGCACATGGAAGCATTGGGACTTTTTTTCTTGTTTTTCCAAATGAGTGTGCCTAATTATGAAAAGGACTTCATAGGAATGCTGTTTACCATATGTATATATAATATTTACAGTGGTTTTGACTCTTAAACGCCAGCAAATACCACACCTAACACCGTCAAAATTATTTGTGTAGTTCCTACAACTATAGCAAGCTTTGCAATTGTATTTGCTCAATATTTTCACTGATATTTCCCAGAGCAGCAAACAAAACAGCCTATGAAACTCTTATTCGGCTGCTGGGCAGTCACTCACTCATTCATACTTTCTTAATATCTTTCAGTATATTGTTATAGATGTTAGACAATTGTAAATAGACTTCTTGGGAATACTAGATCATGACTTTTAATTATTCTTAGAAGTTTTAAATGGATTTGCTCTATTTTTATCATTAAAATCTTAAATAAAGAACATGCTTCATTCCACGTGTTGCTTATATTTTATAATATTAGCATAGAGAATGGCACCGCAAGGCCCAAGTTTTGTAATTTTAATTTTTTATTTAAAACATGAAAATCCCTTAAATAACAATTATTGTTGATGTCGAAAACTGCATATTTTTGTAAATGAAACAAAAACAAATGCAGTATCGAACATTTGTACTGTGAAGTCTGATGAGGAATTGTGGATCTGCAAAACTCCCAAACATCATCCATGATGCAATCTTCTTTCCAGTTTTCAGTTCACGTACTCACAGCTGGAAAATTGGGGGCCCTAACGGAATACTAATTACAGGAGCACGTTTCAACAATCTCTTTCAACCTTGCTCTAGATATGAGGTAATAAACATGTAAGTCCTACATTATGGCCAACATGTACGCAAAAAATGATAACTGCACCATGTATATGCGTAGTATTTGCCCACAAAGAAAAAAAAAATTTAGGTTCAACTGAAATATTAGGAGTCAAAAATGGCAAATGGTTCCTTTACTTCAAAAGTAAAGTTACATGTTAAAAGCAGTTGCAATTTGTATTAATCATTCCTGATGTACTTCTTGGAAGGCCGCATTCAGCTCTGGGTTAAGAGCATAACCAAGTGATTTAATTGAATTTTAAAAATAGTCATCGGTCAAGGTCATTGATTTAATACATTTCAATGATATTGAAATAGACACTTTATACATATTTATACCACCCTCAGTTTCAATGTACTGTAGGTAGCTTTATCCTATCAAAGTAACGCTCCCTGTCATCACCTAGATTTAGGTAACTGCTTTGGTATGCTCACGCCACATCTCCAGCAGACTGAAACAACTTTTCACAGGTCCTCAGCCTAACAACATATATTTACTTCTGGACTGCTCCATAATATCACAAAGGATCTTGATGATTCCCATACTTTAAATAGAACACTTCATTTTTTCATAGTCTCCTTTATTGATATTTATAACTGAATTAAATTTCATGACAAGTTGCATTTATCATGACAAGATCCTAAAATTTATGTCAAAAGGAACTGAATATTTTTTCATTGGCAAAAATATATCTTCTGGACTATTGGCAATACTTGTGCAGATTACTTTGAATTGTATTCAGTTGGAATCAGTTGACAATAAGATTTGATCAGTTATATATTTAGAGTAAAAAGACAAATTCCTACAATTCTCACTTAATGTCATTTCTGCAGTTATTTTGATCAATTTATGAAGTAACCATTTGTCAAATACAGACTAAATTTTCTTCCTTTGAAAAAAAAGTATATAACACTAAACACAAAATGTACTCGGCCTCAAAAAAGTACTTAATCCCTTCATGATGGTATACTTATATGACTCAACAACATAGGAAAAAATATGAATACAGAAGTCTTTCGTACAGTGTGATCAAAGAAGACCAGCGGTGTGATGCTTGCCACCAGGGGCCAGCTGGAGAACCATATTTTTTCCCCAAAAAAATTCTCAGTATATGGTACATAAACATGTGGAGAAACATCCAGAGAATATATGTGTGAAGATCTACTAAAATCCTTTCTCTTTGTGATCCAGGTAGAGGGTAGTGGTTTGACAAATGTAAAGCACTTGAAGAGTGCTGCACAGATGGTGTTTTAACCTTTTACTTGAATGAAAGGCAAGGAATTAATTTCCAACACCCTTATGTGAGCGTTCTGCTCTTCAACAATTAGTTCATGTAAAAAGAATTCCAATTACATTTCCTTAGGAATCTGTTGCTTTGTAGTGATCGTCATCAATTGTGGAATAGATGTGCCCTTCACTGCTTAGAAATTCGATAGCACTCCTGAAAGAAAATTAACTTTTTTTTGACAAACTATGCACATTTTTTAATCTATCACTCTTGACACTTTACACTTTCATGTGACAGGTAAACGTATTAAAACAAAATCTGCGTACATAAAAATTTATCATACCTTAACTGGGAACAACACTGAAATAGTAAACTACAGAGAATACCAAAGTGAAGTAATTCAAAACAAACAAAAAACAGCAACTTAAAAGCAAAAGAAAAATAGTTTAAATGACTAGTCACAACAGCCAAATAGCTCCATAGTGATTTGAGCTATTGCAGCAAAATTATCCAATAAATGAAAACTACCTGATGGCTTTCTCCGTCAGACCTTCCAGTTGTTTTGCTATTTCATAAACACTCACACCTTGCTCGTCTCGACAGTCACTTATTGTCTGTGCTACCTGGAAATGATCAATCAAACTATCTCAGTTCAAGTTACATAACACATGATATACAAGCCCGAGAAAAGGTCCTACAATAATCAATATTGTCCATACTTCCTATTATTTTTATGATACATGTTATATTTATGAATGCGTAAATCTGCAAGTTTTACATTAAATCTAAATCCAAGTAAGCCAAAGGCTATCAATTTTGGTTTTGATTAGTTCAAAAAACACTCCCTCTTTTTTTCAATGCTGTAACTGTACCAGTTATCAATATAGTCTTATTTTAGCGCACATGATTTGGCCATCAATATTTTAAGTTAAATTCTTTAACATTAAAACATGGCTCTTTTCCAAAATTGTTTAATATGATTTTGTTACCTGAAGGAAAAAAACATTTTGCTTTTTAACAGCTTTTTACTACAGAAATCAGAATGCACATGTTACTGCATTTTATCTCACAAGGGGGCATTCTGTTTGGTTCTGTTGAGCTAACACACAGTTCATCTTTTCATGAGGCTTTTTTCTTTTCTTTTTTTTTTTTTTGAAATATGCACATAACAATTTTAATGTCAACAAATATTTATTTGCCACTCTTAACGTTAAGAGTAGAAAATTATAATAAATTACCTTTGCGGTCATGAGTAAACAATTATTTACATTATAACAAGACTTAGAAGCTGGAATTTGACACTGAACAATAGGTTGTTATGAAAAAAGAGAAAGCTTCCACATGCTTCTACCTGACAATAACAAGATCTCCTCTGACTAGAAAATAAATTGGCAAGTAACATTTGCAACAACAAATATGGGACTTGAGTTGTTTGAAACATCCAAGATTTAAACACTTTTTCTTCCAAAACCTGTGTTGTTGAATTAATTAACCCCAAAATTGTGTTAGATGAGTGTAAATGCTGGGGTAGTGCTAGTAATTTTTTCACTTAGCCAAATCACTACTTTTTCATTACTATTTTTGCAAAACGGTTTAAATTTGACTAAAACCAAATCAAACCAAGCCTATTTTGTTTGGCCAATTTAAGTCAGTTTTAGCATTTGGCTTAATTGGCAAGTGTTAGCGCTACCCCAGAAATGGTTGTGTTAAGATTTTTTTTCAACTCTACATCCAAAACTATTCAGTAAGGACAATTCAAGGTGAAGTATTCACTGAGCATAAGCAGTTCAACTTCAGGCATATCTAAGCAATAACCTCTTTCTCTCTAGGTCATTGGACACTGACCTGTGAAAAATGATGACCCACTGAAACACATGTCAGAGCATGAGGAGTCAGACATCTACTGAATCGGCCCACTTTGTAGGTACTAGTTAATTATGTAAGACCTTTTATCTTCACAGAGACAAGATAGGAAGCTGTCAATTTTACCTGTGCTTGTATTGGTGTGAGTCCATTGGCTGGAATGCTGCCCTGGGCCCCAGAGTATGTGTTATCAGCTGCCACAGTCTTAGCAGGAGCATCCTGTAAAGATAAGCAATATTCCACTTATCATGACCAGTAACAGACAAATTGATTATTTTTTTATTATTTTTACAAACACTTTTTGGGATATTATCCTAAAACACAGGGGGGTCGTGCAGAAATAAAATATGGGAAACATTATATCACTCCACTTGTCTTACCTTGCCTTATAATGCTCGACATTTTAATTTTAAAAAAGTATCTCCCCCCCCCCCCCCAAAAAAAAAAAAAAAACACTCCCACTTACACAATAAGAGCAATACATAAAATTTCACTTACACCTGCTTCCATTTGCATTTTGGATGCCATGTGGGCTTGCATGACCTCTAGAATGTGTGTCGTTAACTCATTCATATCCGTTACTGGCTGGATCCTGAAAGCAACCACATTTTTCTTGCCTTGGAAAGCACGGATATGACCGAATAACCTCACATAGGTATTTTCTCGTACAGATCGTATCCTCTCTGCTTCTTCTGAATTGGCTTCCTGTTGAAAAAGTTATTTAGTTTAGCCAGTTCTTTAAGACAGAATCCAACCAGACAATGGTAGTCTTTCATAAAGGCATTAACATAAAAAACATCCATCAATCTTTCCAACTGTGATGTACTACAGTGTGTTGAAGAAAAAGGTTCTTTCAAGATAATATGCTTCTACCAATTAACTACATGAGAAGAAAAAGCAGACCTTTTAGAAAATCCTCAAAATGCAAGCACTGATGAATTGCATCCCTTAGGGGAAATTTCCTATAGACCCAAAATTTGATATGGTCCCATAGTGCCCTTTAGGAAATTGGCCCTAAATTCTATAGGTCTTCTGGTGTTCTTTAGGAAGTTGGCACATATCCCGTTCTATTTGAATTCTATAGGGCATCCAATAGGTCTACTATTGAGTCCTCTAGGAAATTTTTCTATGGACAGCTCTGTATGGGGGTCCTGGGGGCATAACTACAATACTGAAGTATATCTATCTCCAGATAAACCTGAAAGACTTCCATCTGTATTTAAAAACCAACTAACTTACATCAATGTCAACAAACTGCCTGACGTCCATGGGAGGACCCGTTAAGTCATCAATTGTGTAGTCCATTCTGTTACTGCCCTGTTGCACTGACCTGACCAATCCAACTATTGTTACCTAAAAATATTTAAAAAACACACTTCATTAAAAGTTCAACTGTCAGCTTTGAAAACAACCCAGTGAAGAAAAAAACCTGCACTCAGCACCTCAAAGAACCCATATATCTGAAAAATATGTTTAGCATCCATACATTCCTATCTCATTTGTAAATCTGAAATGGATAATCATCTCCATCCTCTCTGGGACCCCTGTTATTTCTGTTTTAGCCATGTTAATAATTTTTCATCAAATACATGTTGAATAAATGAAGAATAATTATTCAATACTGAAAAAATGTTATGTTACTAGTGTGGTGCTGATATTTAATCGTGTTGTACCTTTTGATTTGGAATTTGTTGTCTTCATGCCATATTCATGCACTTTTGTGCATCAAATGTCATTCACATCTAGTTCACAGAAAAATTTCAATAAACTGATCTAATTAATATGTATTGTAACAAATCTAAAGACAGAGTTCCCTACTTTATTTTGTTACTTTACCTGTGCTATTTCTATGCCATCAATGAAGAATTTTTCATCTGCGTGTTGACACTGGTGGACCATAGCTACTGTCACTGGAACAATGTTTTGGGTTCTAGTACGAGCCTGAAAAAATACAAGTTTGTGTACAGAAAAAATAATAATGCAAAAAGGATTCACCACATACACATACAGGATACACATCTAACATGTAGAGGTTTTACTGATTAAGTGCTTCTATTTCAGAAGCATGCCATTGCTGTATATAGTATGCATTTATAATCTATCAAATATGTAAACACCAAATGATACACTCCAACACGCTTCCTTTATAAGCCATTCAATTCCAGATAACCAGCATTAAAAGTATTTTTCTCAACTCTCTCCTATCACTCATTTAAAATTATAAAGTCATTCCAAATTAATATGATTATTATATTTAAAAAGACACAAAAAGTAACATCAAAATCAACCATATATAGTTCCCTCTGTGTAATTAATTATAAGTTTTATTTAATTTTAAATATTTGGTGAAATATTTCCTTTTGTGGCATAAATCTGCACATGATATGGAGGATTATTCCCCAAATTTCACAACTTGCTGATAATAACTGACATGATTAAAAGTTCAACTGGAAACAATTGAAACATTAGACATTCTCAATAAACATTTCACTTTACCAGTTTCACATTGTGTTATCATGTCTCGTGCATGGTTACATCCTTATACGTCCCCACAGCGATACTACCCTGCACCAATGCTCCCCCTCACTGATACTCCCCCGCAGTAGCGATGTAGGGAAGCAATGATGTGGGGGAGTATCGGTGTGGGGGAGTAACGGTGCGCCTACATTTGGTAATTTTACTGGGGATGTATTGATGCAGAGATCTGTCGGTGTGGGGTCGGTGTGGATGCGCGTAATACACAAAAATTTACTAAGGCCACACTTTTTTATTTTTATGGATGACATCCTCTGGGTACCCCAAAATCGGTGCGAGAGGGCGAAAAAAAAAAAGCA